ACATATGCGGTTCATTTATATCATAATTTTTAATCCTTAATTGCAAAAAAAAACAAGTTTTTACCGTGGGATTTAATTCAATATGTTCAAAATTTAATTGTATAATATAAGTAATGTTTGATTGTATAATATAAGTAATGCGTTTATAATATTTGCCTGTCTAGCTGTGAACTTGAAAATTCCGTCAGTCTTCAAGACGATTAATAAATATTTATTAATTTACGAAATTTTTTTAACATGAAACCATTTCGCAACGAGTAGGCAATTACGTTGTGAAGTCCGTAACAGATCTCTCTTCATGACTGCAAACTGACTGCCTTGCCTAATTTATACGATGCCCAGCATTGACCTAATGATAGAAAGGAACGTATGAAAAGACAGCTTCAGTTAGGGTGGCCTCCCGCTCTTAATGGCCAGACACGTTTTGCGTGGTTGTCTGTTTTGATTGCTGTAAAAATATCCTCAACTTGAGGAATTTCACTGCCTTCAGGGAGAGCTGATGCCATATATAGATAGTCGAGCAGTTCCTCGGCATGAGTCATCACAAAACTCCTACCCTCGTTCTCCACAACCCTTATCTGAGGGCTGCATTTAGTTTTTATGTGATGCGGCGACGCGCCTTGGGCCTCAGACATTCGCTGCCTTCGACTTTGGAAAGTTTTTGCAGTGTTTTCATTCTTCAGATTCATGGATTTTGGCCTCACGGAAGTCTTATACCATATCACAGACTCCTCGCTTCGCTGTGATTTTTTACTTTACTTCTCATCATAAATCACTCAATCATAGCATTATTTTCACTTTATTCACTTTCTGTACCACAAAGCTACCTGATGACATCTCACTGCGTCAGATTTAGAAACATTTCATTTGATTCTCGCGCCATTCTCGAAACAAGACAATTTACTCCCTTCTTGTGCAGTATAATCGCACTAATTCTTTGATATCTTAACTATGCTCTTTGAATCTCTTCACTTTGAATCGTCCTCGATATCACTGAATCTTTTTTCTCCACTAACTGACCTCATTGTTACCCTGTACTCTCTCCTCTGCATCATTATATCACTAACGTAGCTCAGCAATTACCCTCTTACCCTCATTCACGTTAATCAGGTCGCCCCTCACCCTCACCGTCAACACAGCCTCGTTGTCACATACCATTTCCTCACTCCACCGCTGCCGCCGCCGCCGCCGCCGCCGCAACCGCTGCTACCGCCGCCGCCGCCGCAACCGCTGCTACCGCTGCCGCCGCCGCCGTCGCTGCCGCAACCGCTACCGCCGTCGCCGCCGCTACCGCCGCCGCCGCTGCCTGTCCTGTAGCTTGGCACGCGTGGTGGGCGCGTGTAGTGCTGCTCGTGAAGGCGCAGCTGATGCTGGTGCTGTGCTGCTTGCTTGAGATGCTCTTCAGTGTTCTGCCTTGTGGGGATACGCTGAGTTCGTATCGAGGCGCTTTATTACAAATCTTGGCGCCTACAGAGCTTTTTACTGCGTGCGCGGTCTATAAGCATCGTTTAATAATTGCCTGAAATTTAAATTCTTAGGTGGCGGAAGGATTTGTGCTGCGTATTTTTTCTCCCGGAATTGTTTTGCGAAACTTTCTTAGTGGCGGTTTTCGTGAAATGTGTAAGCGAAAGGGTTCTGTAGCGAGGCTTTGATATTTGTTGCTATTTTCTTCGGATAGCATTCTTCGCATTTTTGCCAAGCAAGAGATAACTGAATTCTGCAACTGCAAATTTTTACCTAGAGATGACTGATTAATTGAATACCGCGACATTGTGCAGAAGCTAACACCAGCTTCTAGGTTGTATTGGTTTATATGTTGGAGCCTAAAATGTGTAATCTGTTGCGACTGCAGACGCTTGTCAGTCACAAACAGTGTTGGACGCTTGCGATATTTACTTATTCGTTCGTATTTAGTGTCCGAAGTTACTTTGCTCACTGTGTTCGACTCCCTAAACCGTAAAAAGATTTCCGTGTTTTTTTATACCTTCGGTGATCAGGCGCGTTCGCCATGCATTCATTATATCCGGAACACCCTACCAATCAGTCTTTCATGAGCAAATTTTACCGATCCGAAATTGCTCTGAAAATTTGAATGTATTTATGAACAAATATTCGATAAAACCGAGCCATCTTGTGGATTTTATCTTTTATTATTTTTAGTTTTCAGAGAACAGAATAATTATCCCGATCATTCACTGAACACGTGCTCGGACCGCACTGGATATTTTAGACATTTGTCGATGTTGCTGTTGGCACCTGACGTAACGTTCTTTTTCGTTTTGTTTGTCCTCCGCGTTGTTAGCACTTTAACTTGAATATTCTTGTTGCTACTCGGCCAATAAGTTTGGCTAGCTTTATGATTTATTTCAAATTTTCTACTAGATTATTAAAGTTTAATTAGTACGAGTGATGATGCTCTACACACTAGTTAGGCGACGTCGGTAAATTATTTGGAGCATAGTTGTAAAAACGACAGGAATATTTCAGGTTTAGGTATGTCAACGCTTGAGTTGAATATTGAATGTGTCCCCGCCGGGTCACTAGGTCACTCCTACGAGGACAGGAAACACCCAAACGCTGGCCAACAAACAAGTCCCATTGTGTAGATTTGTCTTGCCGCAATTTAGTTGAGCTCAGCCTTGTACACGATTTACATGTGGTGGAAACAAGCTTGTCTATCACGCAAGACTTGCGCTCTGGTTTCTTGAATGTCGCTCATTCATTGGTGTTGCTTACCGACTTGGTGTTGTTGCTTTGTGATACTTCGCATTTTTATTCAAGTAGCTTGACCTGCCGAAATGGTAATTTCACAGGACATTCTGTAGATCTATTTTAACTACCAAGTTACGTAGCTTAACATGCCTCTCATTGTGAAATAGAAATGCTAAAAAAATCGATTGGAATTCTTCCATTCTGTTAGTTTCCCGTTGACTAAAAATTTAAAAGCAAAGAATAGTCCACAAAAATTCATATCTTTATAGAAAACGTTTCGGAGTTCAGCTCCATCGTCAGTTCGTAGAATCTAGAATATACATAGAAAGTCACAAGTTAATACAATTGAAAGCACAGAACACAATTAGAACCTAAATTTACAAGTAATAGGGCGTAAAAACCTATCTATTCACAATTTCAAGGGGATAGGAGCTCACAGCGGAATTTAAACTGGGCCTAAGCTTAAAAATGTACAATGATTCTAAGATATGCAAATCTGAAGTACCGGAACCGATTTTGAAGTAAGAACCTATTTTGAAACTGTTAACCAGAATCTGGTTAACAGTTTCAAAATCGGTTCTTTCTTTAGATATAAAGATATGCTCCCTGTTAATATGCGATCGTCCCTGGTTTATCAATTTCGTTGTGCACAATGTGCATCTGCGTACGTCGGTATGACTTCACGCAATCTTTATTCCAGGATCGCTGAGCATAAGGGCAGGAGTTGTAGGACCGGACAGTTACTATCGCGCCCCCCTCATTCGGCTGTGCGCACTCACGCCGAGCAGTGTGTTGTGCCTGTTACTGACAGTGACTTTAGGGTGTTAGCTTCTACCTCCGGTACTTCAGATTTGCATATCTTAGAATCATTGTACATTTTTAAGCTTAGGCCCAGTTTAAATTCAGCTGTGAGCTCCTATCCCCTTGAAATTGTGAATAGATAGGTTTTTATGCCCTATTACTTGTAAATTTAGGTTCTAATTGTGTTCTGTGCTTTCAATTGTATTAACTTGTGACTTTCTATGTATATTCTAAATTCTACTAACTGACGATGGAGCTGGACTCCGAAATGTTTTCTATAAAGATATGAATTTTTGTGGACTATTAATTCTTTGCTTTTAAATTTTTAGTCAACTTGCGCTTTAAGCAAATAAGTGACATTAATAGATTCCTGTTAATATATTGGTTTTATGGTCAGCCTATTGAACGATCAATATTTATCAAACAGATCAATTGAACTCCACTAAAGTGTTTGCATGAATTCCTACCGTGCGAATCACATGGACGTGATGCTTGCTATCATTTGCTTAGATGAATAAAGTTACATGCACTGAAAGTTCCCATTGACAATCCTTCATTGAAGCTCGTCTTAGTCCGCATTGTGACTTGTGAATTTTTCGTGGATAGAAGTTCAGTGAGACAATTGGAATGAAGTATTTTATTTTAAATGCCCTTTCTGTTGTTGACTTCTGATGCTTCATTGTCCAACTTCTCGATCGTTTTATCAATAGTCTGGCCATGGGGCTTTGCATTGAAAAGCTCTGTCGTCTCAACGCTAGGGCTACCGCTTGCTACGGCGCCTGCTGATTCAGAGCTGAATCCCACAAGCTCATTGTTTGTGTGCTTCTTACAGATTCTATCGAGACTTTTGCATGGCATGCATATGGCGATTTTTATTGGCTATGAAAATGATATAAACTATCATTTCCATAAAGGTATTTTCGTTTATTTACTGCAGTGTCTTGTAGAAGGGTCCATTACAGTTAACGTACTTAAGATCTGACACGACCCACCCGACATGGTGTTCTCGCAGTCCGGAAAGTAGGCTTCTTTGAAACACGAAACGATACTTCTAATCGCATCAAAATAGGGAAAGATTTGAAGTTTAGCCTTCAATCATAATTATTACGGATAAATAGGATTTTTTGACTTGCGATCACTGTTTGCAACATCATGCTGATAATCCTTAAATTATTGTGCTCCTTTTGAAAATGTGTACGGTAATTCAAAATTTTAATAACTTATTCTTAGTAATGTATTTTTTGCTCTCTTCATTAGTTTTACTTCAATTGAAACGCTGTATTGGAAGTTCTGGCTTGTATGGAAATGTTGCTTTCATTTTATGGGCGGTGAGTAGTTCCATGCCGCGCGGTAAGTGCAAACGTCACTGAATTTTTTCGCCGGCAACTTTCCTGTTTTACAGATGCTTTTAACTCTCTTTTTTCACGTATTTGCCTGTTCTGTGTTTTTCATTTGGAAAATAATCAATTTTTCCTCTCAGAAATTTATTCAAATTCCGTTATGTCCATGTCCAGTCACAGTGTCTCACTTATTAATGCTTGAATCGCGAGAATCGGGAAATTGCGTGACTGCCAGCTGAGCAGGTGAACATGGATACCGGAAATGAGGTGGAATGTAAGTACAGCGGTCGTCAAATGCCCGAGAACACGATCATAGAAGCCAGTGGTAGGGAGAACATCAATGACATGGAAAATAACCGTGTGCAAGATGGCTTCGAAAGTTGTGCAGTGAATAATAATACTTCGTACCAGGCCGGGTCGAGTGCTGCTAGTGCTACGAAAAGTATAGGTTTGACCGGTGCGATCGATGATTCAGGTAGTGGGCCTGAAGATGGAAGCTGTAGAACATCGCACGGAACGTCTGATTTTGACGAAATACCAGGTGTTTCGATTGACGAGTCGCTCATCCAAAATCAAACAGTTTATCGTTCTCTGGATACTTCTGAAATCACGCCCAGTGTTGTAAATTCTGCGATTGACCGTGCGGAGAGCATTCTGAAAAACAAATGTTCTTTTTCTGGAGTACGAACTACTGCTACAGGTCTTTCATTTTCACCTTCGTGTTCCAGTGCAAACTTTTGTGTTTCGTCATCGCGCGAGCGCAATAAATCATTTTATAACTTTGGATCCGAGAATAAACTTACCATTGACTCTCTGTCTGAATCAAAACTTGCGATATCCGACTATAGTGAAGATGAAACTGAACGTGATAGTAGCAACCAAAGCTTGAACAACAATTCTAGTGAAGCTCATGATTCTTTTTCGGGAAAGTCGGATTCTTCGACTGATTTAGATATCAAAATTATGGAAAACTGGAGCGCCTTGAATCTAGCTGGTGAAGAAAGTCTCCATGTTGGAGTTCACCGTAAAAATGTTTTGTCGGCTTCAAGTGTGAACACGACAAGATTTAGTGAAAATGGGACCTTGTCTTACATCGATGAAAATGCAAGCTGTGAACTCGACGGCGATCGCGTCAAGTTCATCAGGAATATATCACTCTCCACACCTAATTGGGACGACGAATTATGGAAGGAGCATTCTACTCATCCCCTGATAACTTCAAAAAAGAGCAAAAAACTTATCAAGAAAAAATATGGTGCGCCGCTTGTGCTGAAACCGTTTCCTATCCATGGTCGCCACCATTCTGATCTATTGAATGCCGGCACGAGAAAGTTCGGTTTACTTCCGTGTCCTGACTTACCTTCTTTTAATTCTGCCGATGAATTATTTCGTTTTCCAAAACCAATTAAACTTTTGAAACGTTCTTCAAGCTTCCCAGAAACCCGTCCTCGTTTTGACCAACTTAAGACAATTTTTTCTAACTCGAAAATAGTGTCGATCAGCACTCCTTCTTTGAACAAATTACCATCTCGCTCCCCGGAATCGACCGACTTCGTGTCTAAATCTAGTGGTATATCCTTGGTGAAAGTTGGCAGGGATGAATTCGACCAATCGACTAACGGAATTGTTGGCGACTCTTTTCTGGGCAAAAAAGCAACTAAAATCCTCGATATACAGACCACGAAAGTGACTGAAATCCCGATGCATGAGCACAATTTCGAGGGAGAGGACCATTCTACTACCATCGCTCGTGAAAGAGTGAGTAACGATCAGGTTCAGGAGGCAGACGAAGATCATCAACCTGAATTTCAACAGAAGCAGAGGCACGTTGAGCCACCAAAATATGGACATAGTGGCTTTTATGTCCTTCCAAAAGTTGCTGTAGTTTTTCCTTTGAGGGTAAGCCGATATTACTAACGTTACTTTTTTTTCTAACAAATTTTCGTTTATCAAACTTGAATGGAACAATATTACCACATCCGAAGTTGACACCCATACTCGCTAACACTTTATTACATAGTACACACGTTTGTCAGTGTTACTATTTTTCTGTTTGTTTCCTATAATCTTATAGGAACTTGGATATGATATTATAGGAACTCTCTCCTCTATGCCACGAGGTTCCTTGAAAAACAACCATTAGGCAGTTAAACGCGTCCTCGCCAAAGCTCTTGCGGTTGTTGACGTCAGTACGTGAGCTGGTTTACATGGTCATATTGAACGCTGGCAGAAATAGACACATGAGCTGCTATCTTCTTGCTCCTGCCAGCCCGTGCCTGCAAGTGCAGTCGTCCATCAGCGTTTGAGTTCTATGAGCTCGAGATTCTATGAGCTCGAGATGAGCTCATCGAGATATGATGAGCCTGCACCTAATGCCCTAATACTAGCATAAAACAGTAGATCTTTCTTGATCTATTCTATATGGAAACTCATTGTGAATTCTAACACTTACCTAAATAACAAGGGTGAAAAACTATCAAGTCAGTTTTTATTCCCCCTACCCAGTTTTTATTCCGATACGTGTTGTGATCGTCAGAAGTCCTATGGGATCTCGTGTTTCTATGGGCACTGAAAATAATCGAAGTATATATTTGTTCACCTCAGGACGTGCCGGCGTCAGACACCGGCGAGGGCGACAGCAGGGTACCGGACGCTGCCTCACACGCGGAGTTTGGTCGCTCGTCTCCAGCAGGTGAACCGCTGCACCCCGCATCCGTGACGTCGCTGCTTGCTTCTAGCAAGCCAGTCTCCCCTGCCAAGAACAAGGCCTCGTCTAAACATTCCTCGAAGCATTCCTCCCCCATAAAGACTTTGTCAACCGTCTCTGTCAACAACGTTGCTGATATCGATCACACCGACTCTGTGGACTCAGATGACCAGTCTTCCAGAGTCTCAAGTGAGTCAATTTGCATGTTTTGATATTCATTAATCAACTCATTATTAGATTTCTGATTTCCTTCCGTGAAAACGTAAGCATGTAGGTGGAGAAATGTCTACAGCTACTGCCATTAATATTGGCTAATGAAATTGATAGATAATTATCTAGACATAGAGCGGAAATTCAGTAATTTTTCATTCGTGAATTTTTACTTTTGTCTTTGCAAGCCCGTGCATTTTGTGCTGAAATATCCTGCCCCATCTTGAATGCAATTATTTGAACTTATCATTTAAACCTATACCAAAAGAGAGGACGACCATTGATCAATAACTATGTGGTGAACAGCGGGCCTGGGCTCGCTGGAGGTGGTCGTGTGTCCGGTACAGAAGAGCCACCACGTGGGCAGGGAGATCGTCAACACCGTATACGCCATCCCCATCGACTCGCTCTTCACGTTGCTCTTCACCAACTCTAAGATGATGCTCGAGGTGCACGCGCTGCGCAAGACTACAGGTAACGTAGACATAGGTATATTTCCTCGTATGTTATTGAGCATGAAAACCAGAGTGCACTTTACTAGTCTAGCTGTTGGTTCATGTGGATGGTAAAAAGAACGGTGAACCCTAATAGTACAGTATTAGAGGTAGAAAGAGAATATGTTAATAGCTAAGAGATAGTAGAACGAAGTAGAAATTTCGAGTTTAAAATAACTTGATAAACTGTCGTGACTGGGCTGGCTCAAAGGGACCAGCCAAGTTTGCAGCCCTACGGAGTATGATATAAATAGGGTGCAGAGGTTTGAAGTTGAATTGATAGTTTATGAACTCAACTGTCATGTTGGTTCGGCATTGGAAAACGAACTGTGCCATTCTGTGTGCAGATAACAATTTATATTTGTTAGTTAAACCGTATATGTATCTAAAGATTTCAATCTAAGTGAGAGCTGTTAACAAAACCGTGAAATTTATGGCAAATTGAATTTTTAATCATACATTCAAACATTTATACATAATAAATTCAATCAATCAATTTATCCCTATAATTATTCTGGAAACGCTCCCTAATTATCCTGTTGTAGAAGTGATTGTGCGCGTATCAGACGGTATTATACACGTGCTAGCATACGTTCTATATAAATATATCTGGGGCCATACTTTCAAAACTCGCCAAATGAACTCTGTTTTCTAGTGAACTCTACTTACGCTCTGTTTTCTTGTCTATGATTGGTGGATTTTGCTTGAAAGGCCGTCAATGATTGGCTGATGAACTTACGATCTCTTGACTTTTTTTGAAAGTACAGTCCCTGACAATTTCCTCTGTTGTTGTAGACGTGGTCGCTAGTCCGTGGCAGAGTAAGAACGATGGTCAACAACGCCTCCGGCAGGTGACTTATACGGTCGCGTTGCCCACCAACAGCTTTGGGCCCAAGGTTTCGCACGTCACCGAAACACAGGTGAGATCACAGGTTCTTATCTGTTGAATCTCACGTGTTTAGTATGTTTTAACAGTAATAACTGTGGTAAAATTCAGAGAATCGTAGTTACTTTATTTTAAATTTCGTATGGTTTTTGAAATTATTGCTTTGTCTCTGATGTTAGCATAGGTTTACTGGGAGTTCCTAGTGGGATGAAGTTTAATTTATTGATTTATTGGAGAATTAATGTTCTGGTTCTGAGCAGGTGATGTCGGAACTAACGGTGCCGGGCGAGTACTACAGCGTGGATGCGGAGGCGAGTAACGCCGGCATCCCGTACGCGGAGTCCTTCCTGGTCTCCAACCACTGGTGCCTGACGCGTGAGTCGTGCTCCGAGACCCGCCTCGCCGTCTACACCAGCGTCAAGTATAAGAAGAACATGTGGGGCTTCATGAAGAGTGAGTCATGAGGGAACATGTGGGGCTTCATGAAGAGTGAGTCCTGAGGGAACATGTGGGGCTTCATGAAGAGTGAGTCCTGAGGGAACATGTGGGGCTTCATGAAGAGTAAGTCCTGAGGGATAAACTAAGAGAACATGTGGGGCTTCATGAAGAGTGAGTCCTGAGGGATAAACTAAGAGAACATGTGGGGCTTCATGGAGAGTGAGTCGTGAGGAATAAACTAATAAAATGTGTGGAGCTTGATGAATGTGTCGTGAGGGAGCCGTAGTGAAAAAATTATGTATGGTTTGAGTCCGTGAAGAGTGAGTGGTGAGTGACAAAACCTCCATTCAGTCGAGATGACGCTATTTCAAGCGACATGTCGTTGATCATTCTAATGAACCTTAACGATTACAGCAGAAAAATTGAAAACTCCGGTTATTATTATCTGTTTCGTCTGTCATATTCTAAGTTGCCTCATTGAAATTTCGTGATTGTTAGGTATGTACATATAAATTTTTGCAGTGTTGAACAAGGAATATTTTAATCATTTTTTTAACAATAATATGTTCTTTTTTTTGTTTTTTCTTCCTGGTTGTTAGGTACTATGAATATATAAAATTTTGCAGTGTTGAACAAGGAACATTTTAAAACAATTTTTAACTAAAAGCATGTTTTGTTGTTGGTCAGGCGTCATCGACAAGAACGCGTGCTCGGGCGTGGAGGGTCTACTGCAGGGAATTGACAGCGCCCTGCAGCAGGAGGTGACGGAGCACGCCAACATGCATCAGCGAACACGGCGGCGGCGACGCAGAGGTACCGTCAAGCTCGAGTCTGAGGTGCCAGGGTCAGTGCCAGGCCTCATGCCTGCCGCTGACGTCACCGCTGCTGGCACCGGCGTCGCGGCTCTGAAGGATAAGACCAAAGCCAAACTGCCCGTCAATAATATTCTCGTAAATAGATTACTCGGTGAGTCGCATCTCACGTCTTCCTCACAGTTGTTCTCTCTGTAAAATATTCAGATTAAAAAGCAGATTAAGCTAGATAAGTAAATTCTTATCCGGAAGCAATTTCAATTTATTTTATATCTTTGTTTGCATTTGATCAAATAATGAATATAGGTACTTGGTGACGTTTTGAATAATTTAACGGTTATTTATCTAGTCGAATTAATTTTAGATTAGGGATTAGTAAATCTAAGTATTAATTTTCTCTTCTTTTGCCGTTCAATAATTATTAATCTAATGATGCTTCTGTGTATGCATAATATCAAAGTTTATTCATTAATAATTTGCTTGTGTGTGCCCAGGTTCGACGGCTATGCGGCCTCCGGCGCTCGCTCGGCCCCCTGCACTCGGCAGCGGCACGGCAGCGCTGAACGCCGCGTGGCGCGACGACAGCGTCGACACGACATCGATGTCGTGGCCCAACTGTCGGGTGCTCATCATGACATTCTTGTTGCTGCTGCTTCTCTGCACTAACCTCATGCTCTTCTGGAGACTCACTAAGCTCGAGGAACTTGTCAGACTCCAGCCGCATTATGCTGCCCTCAGGGGCTTCATGCAACTCGATCCTGACGTCGTCAGGTTCGTCAAAATCCTAAACTCATATCAAATGTGTCGAGGCAAGCTCCAGCGCATTGTTCTAAAGTACCGTATTCTATTTAATTCTTTCTCACGTTTGTCCATTGATAACGACTCGTTTTATACTAAAACACTTGACTTAATTCCAAGCTCCCCACTTGGGCTCACCTCTATCCAATATTTCAAGTTTGTGCAGCTCATGTAAAATTGTTCGTTATGTTTCGTTATTCTTTTGACGAATATTCGACGTGCTGAGAGATGGTTTAGAGCAGTCAGATTTATTGTTTTTCATTCATATCGATGCTGTTTATTTGATGCCGCATCCCCTCTAGGAGGACTTCTGACGCGTGTCTGTGCGCGTCAGAAGTCCTATGGGATTCCGCACTCTCAGAGAGATTGCTCCTGAGCGCCCCAACGCTGAGCTCGCGGTGTCTGACAGAAGATCTCAGTTGTGGGGTTAAGTTATTATGTAGGTAGGATTCCTTACATTAAGTTATTATGTAGGTAAGATTCCTTACATTAAGTTATTATGTCGGTAGGATTCCTTAAATTTCCCTTCTCTGTCTCTCTCGTGCGGGCGGCCGACGGCCCGTGTAAGCGACCTCTTGTTCGAGTGTCTTTGTTTCTGTTGTTTTTCACCTGTCCCTCCTCGTTGCTTCGTCTTTTCGAGATGCTAACGCTGCTTCTTTCAAGCCAGCTTCAACGGGTTGGACTAATGAGACCTTCCGCCCCTTGTGGTTGATGAACAATTTTTTGATTTAAGAAACTTTTAATAATTGAGACCTTCTACCTCTTTGGTGATGTTAATCTTGACTTTCGGTGCGAAATAGCAAAATAGCTGAAGCGCTAGTAAACATGTGGCCACTAAACTAGCTAAACTTGATGCGACAATCGCAGTTCTTTATATAACGCAGTTCTCAATTCTACGAATTTTTTTGTATATAGAATTCGTTGTTTTTTATTTCACTGCATGTGGGTTGCCAGTAAAATTGTAATCCAGCCATTAGCCCGAATTGTTATGGTTAACCAGGAAAATACAACTTTACGATCGTCTCTACTTGAGACTCGCTGACATTATTCTAGCATCAAGTGCCCCCAAGGAAACTCTATATTCAAATAAGTGATATTGTGCTCAGCCTATCCAAACTTAGTATTTGAATTGCCTGAGCTACCAGAACCCTCATCTTGTAACTGGCTCGTGTACCTGCAGGAAAGAAATCCGAAGCGACGCGATGCTTCAGATTCTCCAGGAACAAGAGGTCGCCCACGTCAAGATGACAGAAGACTGGAGAACTCGAATTTCCGAAGCGGAAACACTGCTGCATCAGGTAACTTGCACGTGTTTCGCTTTACATCTCTATTTAAACTAGTACCTCTCTTTGCAACGACTTGATGGTTCCGAGTGCTGTGATTTTTCACGTTTTTTGGGACATTTCAATTCTAATCAATCACAAATTTTCAGCAAAATAGGAGTTTATCCAACACTCTTTATCTGGGTTTGGTTGGACGATTTTTTTTTTCTTCATAAACTCTTGCAGTTTGCAACTGGTATTGCAGGCTCTTGCATGAAGTCGATAATTTTGAGTATCAACAAAACAAAATTTTAACAAATTATTTTTATGTGCTTGGGTGCAGATAGTCAGGGCACATTTAGATGTCTCCTATAGTGGCAGCTTTTATCGTCTTGTCCGAAGTATGATTTATCGTGAAATCACAGCAAAATATGCATGAAGATGGCGAATGAAAACTAAAATGTGTACTACTCGATAGTAATTTAATAATCCCATGGCTTTTGTTCTTGATGTAATTGGTCTGGCCACGGACACGAATGAGAGAGATCAATTTCATCTTTGCTTCTCAATTTTTTATTCTTTAACGAAAATTTCATATAAGACCTAAGAGTAGGTATTTCTTATTAAGAATTTTATTATTACTCCTCATTCCTTGATTTCCTTATGTACGATGAAAGATATTTCAGGGATATCATTTAAGTATCTAGACGCACCTTTTTGAGGTAGACGCACCGCTTTGGTTGAAAGACGTTTTCGAACAAAAAAAGTTTTTTAGGACCCTAATGCACATGTACCCCTGGTGCGGCAGGCTGAGGGCATGTTGCGCGGCCTGCACGCGACCATCCCGACCGAGCAGTCGGCGGCGAGCCGCGCGCTGCTGGAGCGTCTACGCGAGTCGTCGCTGTCGCTGCAAGCTGACATAGACAGCAGCGTACAGACGGGGCCAGAATTACCTTATAACTTCAATGATCTTGAAAGTGATAGTAGTCATAGTAGGCATGAATTATAGTTCCATATAATGGATGGTTTGATGTTCCTCATGTATTATTAGCAATTCTTTCCTCGTGAGAATTTTTGAATTCTTGTTTGGGTGTAGATTAGTGTCGTTCTTTTATGTTTGAATTCATATTGAAAATGAAGATTTATTTATACACATTTGTTATATTTATTTTAGTTCTAGTGGAGAATAGGCGCTGTACTTAGCAGCTGAGCTGTTCATCTCAGAAGATGTCTCATTCCTCCGTAGTTGCTGCGTGCCGCTACGCACGTTATTTTACTCAGCGTCTGATGAGATGCTAGGGCGGATTGCTAAAATACAACTTTGTGAGATCACCAGTCGTCGGGTGTTTCATTGAACCTCCGTGGCCTCGGCGGAGTTTACAGTCGTAAATAATTGTTTTGAGATGCTGTATTGAAAAAAATGTACACAAATTTGCGTATTATTGAAATATGAATGAGCGTCTTCAATAATTTACTAAAACTGAAGTAATGATGATGATGCAGCTAAAAGCTCTGAATAAAAAAATATAACTCGGTACTCACTGCAGTGAGTGACAGAGAGCGCATTTTCTCGTCGGTGAAAACTTGAAGTCACGGACGGACGGACGGACATGACGAGCACAATAGCGCCTTTTTTTCATGAATGAGAAAATGCGCTAAAAAGGAGCGAAATCGTTGATATGACTAGGGAAGTTAATGAAATGTTTATTTCGAAGTCTTGACATTACAGTCTTTCACCCCCTGGTGAGTTTTGGTACAGTTCTCAGCATGCTTGTGTAAACGACAACCTGGCTCTATTTACACATTACTTAAATCAGGTCTAGTGTAAGTTCAGCCTTGAATTGACTGCAACAAAACGGATGAAAGGGAGAAATTTTTGGCCATTTTAATGCAAGTAATGTAAACTTCGCATTAGCTCAGAGTAAATTAGATAGTTTCTAGTCCTGTAATATACAGTTGCGTCACTCGTTGTTACAGGAATGACTATTTCTTATTGTCGTCGTGTGAGTTTGCGTTCTCCATCTCGTGCATGAACTTCAACTTGCCGTCCACGCCCTGCTGCTTGACCAGCTCCTCGAGGCGACTGAGGTCCTTCAGTGAGATCTGCCCGCTGCCCCGAGCTGGGGCCTCGGCCCTCTGGCGGGTTCAATACATGAAAATTAGATGCACCATTTTTATTAAATACATGATATTACATGAATAGTAATACATAATACATACTTTTGATAGTAGCAAATTAATATGACCATGACTGTAATCAATTCATGAGAAAAATGCTCAAGAATAAATACTGGTGTTAATTGTGAATTTTTATTGTGTGTGGGGAGCTCACAAAACCATGAGCACTCGACTATAATAATAGTTTGCACGGGAACTTTAATGTCTTGATAATAATAATATCTTGATAATATAAAAACTGCGAGCTAATGGCGTCATCTAAAAAATCTATTGTCGAAATAACGATTAGTGAAAATATTTTTTAAAATAAGTCAGAACCGCAGTAAGATTGTCAAACGTGGTATTTATGGAAGATGTCTCATCCTTATTCTATTGGATAAGTCTAGAAGATAAGTCTAGAATTGGTTACCTTTTCAGGGTTTGGCTTCCAACCGATCATGTAAATAACTTGGTACGTAGCCGGTATTCCTTCTTCGTCACCGTACATTTCTTCAACACGAAAACAAAGTCATTAGTGCATTTTTACTGATTTTTGACACCTATACTGGTAAATTACAATATTATTCCTCATATTTAATTTATTTCAAGCAATAGAAGGTAATTATCAGCGTACATCCGACACAGAAGAATGATGAATTATCGAGCACTGTAGGAAGTATTAATATTGTATTAATATCTGTCATGCGATTCAATTTGGCCAAAAACCATGATGAAAAAATGTGATGGCTAATGACGTACAAATGTGATGGCTAGTGACGTACAAATGAGCTGGCTAGTGACGTACAAATGAGCTGTCTAATGGCGTACAAATGAGCTGGCTAGTGACGTACAAATGTGATGGCTAATGACGTACAAATGTGATGGCTAGTGACGTACAAATGTGATGGCTAGTGACGTACAAATGTGATGGCTAGTGACGTACAAATGAGCTGTCTAATGACGTACAAATGTGATGGCTAATGACGTACCAAAGTGATGCCAAGTAACGTCCAAATGTGATGTCTAATGGCATACAAAAGTGATGGCAAGTCTGGTACAAGGCATGCCTACCTTGATATATGGCAGCGGCAGCCATGCATGTATCGCGGGACAAGTGCAGCTGGCGGGACAGGTTCGCGTTGTTCTCGGCCATGCCTTGCAAGTCCCACATGAGCTCGAACATGCTAGGGTAGCCCACGGTGATGTCTTCAGTGTCCTGCAATAATATTGCTTACTTTAAATAGAAATATGGTGAAAATTTCAAGTAGAAGTTGATTTTAATGGCGTACTATATTACAAAATATCATGTTCGCATACAAAATGAAATAAATTTAAATACTGCTAGATTGGAATCGATAAAATATAAAACCTGAAACCGCAAAGAAAGAATAGATATAAGTTGTTTGCTTAAATATGGAAAGTATTTCTTTTGGGTCTTCATTGCCATTGATTTAAGAAAGAGGAGTTACTAGAGGAGTCATAATAAATAAATGGTAGTCAGAGTAACATAAGTTGTCGAGCTCGTGGTAACATAAGCTTAAGTCACTCACGACGGTGAGGAGCGTGAAGCCTGCGTTGGTAAGCAACGCGCCGACATCCTGCGTCTCCGTGAACGGCGACACATGCGCTGAGATGCCCTGGATCACAGCCAGAATCAAAAACATGATCTATGCTTCAAAACCAATCAGTATTAATATACTTTTCCTAATGTAGAGAAATAAACTCACGCAAAGCCATTCTGGTCACAATTTGATATTTGTCTAAGAGTAAGAGGCCAGCAGGCCTGGACCTACACTTTCAAAAAAATTTGAGAGATCGTAAGTTCATCGGCCAATCATTGACGGCCTTGCAAGCAAAATCCGCCAATCATAGACAAGAAAATAGAGCGTAAGTACTTACGTTAACTTAGCGAGTTTTGAAAGTATGGCCCCATGGGCAAGGATATAACAAGTTGAAAACAACACGTACGCCTCGTCTCTCCATCTCGGCGAGCAGCAGTGAAGAGCGCAGCTGGTATAGCGTGTCACCCCCGAGCATAGCGGCCAGCAGCACCCCGTCCCGCTTGAGCGTGCGTAGCACCTCACGCAGGCACCCCGGCAAGTTGTTCACCCAGTGCAAGCTGCACGCAGTCAACACCACGCATTAAGTGTTGCGGCTCTAGTGAGAAAAGGTGTCCAGTTATTAGAACAGCCAACTACAATTAGGAAAAATTTAGTCTCTACAACACCAAGTTGCGATGTCGAAACCTGCAGTTAATTCAATGGATTCCATTACGGCTTTAGACCGTCAAGAGGTTACGATAATATTCTTACACAATATTTACAATAATCGCCAGGTTAGAGGTCAGAGCAGTATGATGAAATGAAACATTCTAAACAAAGTGAGAAAATAAGTATGCATGGGAATTATAATACTCTATACACATTGATCCATGAGCAAGTGTAAATGCGTGCAAATTACGTACGAAGCAAAGGGAGCCGTCGGCCGTCACTGCTGCTCATTTCGTGCTGGTATACCAAGAAAGCAGCGGCAAATAAAGAAGTAGCTTGAGATTTCTGACACCCTTTCATTTCCCGAGAATTCATAAGTAAATATAGCCCCTTAATGCACAGAAAAGAGATTGAAATCTAACTAACGAGAAAACGACAAAGGAATATAAAAAAATTAACGATTTAAAATTTTCACGAGGATAAGATCTGTACGCGTTGTCAAAAGGTTTCCGATTGAGAATATGCAGCGATTCCAAAATCCTTAAATGCGAGCCACTTTTCATTTCAATTTTTACTGGTGAGTCAAATTGACTTGAAAAGACAGTCTATATAATATGGACATGCAGGGTAGGTAGTAAATACGCCAGATGAAACGCTTTCAATTTAAATATAGATAAAACTTTTGCAAGCAAGCACAATCAGTTTGATTGTAACAAATGAATAACCATGATTAACCATTTTCTCTCGATCTTCAAACTATTTATATGGTTTATTAGATCTTTAACATAACAGGAGGGTTAAAGAACAGAACGATCAACGAAAAATCACGTCTTATTAATAGCTGCTCCCTATAAACCAAAACCCCTGACATGGACGTCCACTAGACTTTAAATGTAGGCTCGACAGCGGCGACAAACTTTACCTCAAGTTAGATAAGACGATATCCAAGTGTTCATCTTCGAATGGCAGTTTGGATTCCTCGTTGATACACAATTTTTCAACAGAAAGTCCGTCGGCTTGAGGGACGTGGGCTTGAGCGAGCAGGCCAGGAGAGAAGTCGCTCATGTAGAGCTTCTGTAAACTTGTCTGTAGGCACAATTATAACAAATGGCTGTGTATAATATTAAGCAATTAAACTCAAAAACACTCCTGATGCATTTTAAAACACCTAGCTAGGCTTCAACATTCTATCTCAGCAAACCAAGATGCTTCAGGAAATGAGATTGTACGTAGAATAGAAGAGAATATAACAGTAACACTATTTCAGAATTACGAAAGTACCGGATGACAACTTAAAATAACATACATTAGTAAAGCTTACAAACGTCCCGGACGCAAACATAATATAGAAAATAACAGTTTACTGTTATTGTTACGTTTCGATTAGGTGGCCCAGTGGTTAGTGGTTACAGTTCAGAGAGCCAAGATTGGAGTACAGATGCAAGGGTTCGATCCCGGCACTGTGCATCAGTTTCTAGTCAGAATTGGCGAGAAGGCCGGCGGTTAAATAAAGCAAAAATTGAAGCAGTTAGCTGTGAGTTCCAGACCCGTAACAAGCTGTGAATGGACTGCGATGTTAAGAATCGGCGACGGGCCTGCGGCCTAATGAAGGCCGAAACCGCTATTAATATCACTACCGTGATCCCGGTCCAAAATAGATGTTCAATGAAGCAAGTGATGAATTCAAGTTTTTTTTACCTCCGTGATGTGTTTAGCAAGCTGCCCTCGTCCACAGCTTAGATCCAGGCCAACTCTGAACTCATTTTTGATGTCGTGAATGCGCTCAGAAAGTCGGTAGCCCACCTATGTGGAAAAGCAAATTTTGAATACAAACGAAAAATTGGGAAAAGTGAGGACAATTGAAAAAAATTTCTTTCATATATTCCAGTAGAAACCCGAGGTTAGGATTAGGATATATATTCATGTTCATTTTGACATTAACAAAAACGTTCAATTCTTACTGCTTATGTCATCCAACTATATATACAACGAAGTTGCCATGAATACGAAAATATAATACACGTCATTCCTCTCATTGTAAGTAAAATAATCTGTTTTCAGTGCAAATAACAATTTAAATTACCTCTTCCTTGAGATAATCATAGAGGTGGATATCTTCTCGAGCCGCGGCTCGCTCCTTCTGCATCAGCTTCGCGTTCCTATCGAAGACCGTGATGGTCTCGGTGCGGCCGGTAGTGAGAGTCCTTATAGTGGCGCAGGAGCACCGCGGCGCCGCCACGCGCACGGCCGCACCAAACATATTGTTTCTTTTTTTAATGTGTTTCTTAGTTTAATGCTGTTTAACCTGCAATCTAGAATATTCCAAGGGAATTATCCGAGCCTATGCTCCAAGATTATTCATAATTCAGGGATAAACATCAATTAGAGAATATTCTAAGGGAATTATCCGAGCCTACGCTCTAAGATTATTTATAATTCAGGGATAAACATACATTAGAGAATATCCTAAGGGAATTATCCGAGCCTACGCTCCAAGATTATTCGTAATTCAGGGATAAACATACATTATTAAAGCAAGTGACCCTTGAGTCGAAGCAATGTTGAAAAATTGCCACATGGGTAGAGAATATCCTAAGGGAATTATCCGAGCCTACGCTCCAAGATTGTTCATAATTCAAGGATAAACATACGTTTTATTCAGATTAATCACAACCTTACACAGAACGGCGTTTGAGAGCATTTTCTTCAGTTTAGGCTTTGAACGTTCAAACGGTTCATTTAGCCCTCACGAGGTACAAACAGTGATTTCATTATGTCTAGCAACGCACAACTCCACAAGACGGTTAGAAAAGCGGCAAAATAAAGGAAACCATGTAAAATGAAATTGAGTAATACTAAATGAAAATGATCTCGGAAATTTTGGCAGACGGTGAATGGTAGAATTTTGAAAAAAGGGACTTACACTTCTTTTCAGCAAAATATTTCACTCCACTAAGTGGAGCGCGCGTACTACACTAACCACAGGATCCGATAACTTTTCGGGATTCAATAAGCGAAGATTACTGTCAATTGCTTTTCGTTCAATTTACGTTCTCCGCCCTAATGTTTTGTGCCCGATCACCAAGACTTCAAATTGAGCTTATCTGGAATTTTAATCAACCTTTCTTCATGAAATGGTCGTTTCTTGCCCGAACTACATAGCGAATTACGACCTATAGTGAAGGACTTGAGAAATAAATAAAAATAAAGTTCCGGCAAGGGAGACAGGAGTCCAGGGGAGCGTCAACTTTCCCCGAGCAGACGTCATCCATGGTTGAATTAAAATATTAATTCAACCATGGGCGTCATCTGCCCTCCTGCGGATCACGGAACGGTGCTCGCCTCCGCGCTGTGCGAGGAGGCACCGTGGTCATAACATAACATAGTATAGAATAACATAATATAACATCGTGATCTCGGCGCTGAACAGTAGGCCTGATGTGGCCTGTCGCCGATTCTTTTCCTTTTCGTGCCTTGTTCACAGATCTAAAATCGTGTAATTTGACCGGATCTTTTCATGACTGACGATAGTTTGAAGTAGCTACTAGACATGTAGAAATAAAAAAAATCAAAACCTTCTGGGACGAAGATACATTTTTGCGTCGAATCGAAGAAAAAATCTGCAATGTTCTCGATTTTGGTGACAAGCAGAGCGAAAATTATAGGTGAAGAAAATGCTTAAACAAACCTAAAGCACAGCTAACCGTTCAAATTAAATAAAGACAGTTTACGACGTGTGAGGCAAGAGATTGGTTTCAAAATGTCATCGAATAATTTGAAAAATTGAGGAGTAGAACACGAGGAAGATATGAGGAATAATAAAACCAAACTGTAAAATTTTATGGTATTTGTATTTATTAAGTTATAAACAGGTGCGTTTTTAAACACGCCACTGAACACGCAATTACAATGGTGAAATAAGTGGGTGAGACTCAATATCCGAGCCACAGAACAGAAAACACAGCATATGATGTCTCGTCTCACTGCAATGGCAAACAAAGAGAAATAAATACTATAAGCAGAGCTGCTGGTACGGGACATATTCAGAACTGTATTAAATAGCAACAAATCGACGAGCGGTACAAGGCCCACAACATACATGCAACTGCTTCAAGTGGAATCGAGCATTAATTTATTCGAAATTTTTATTCATTAAATTAAAAACGCAGGAATTTATAATTGTGTATCCGATCAAAATAATGACATAGTTATTTGTATACTGCGTGGCATCTTCAGTATTGAGGAACCTATAATATTGAAAGGTAAATTTACTAGCCTAATTGAACTATCTCGCAGTACTGCTTCAGCGAGCTTAAGGTTACCGCTAAATCAACGAATATCAGTCACAAAAATACTAATGAAAGACAAAATAATGTCGGCACAAGGATCTACTTCACGTTCCGACAATCATACAGAACCCTATCAATAAACATTAAATATTTGTTCTCGTGCAAGAAACCCGAGTTTATAGATCATCACTTGCACGTGGAAAACCATTAAAAAACGTTCCATTAAAAGTCATCGCTATATGTGTGGTACGATAAGGCTAGGTTCAAAACGTACTACCGGGCATGTGCCAGTCACGGTCCAGTCCAATATTCTTTAATGCCTTTTCTTAGAAGCATTCACACCATGGACATAACGTGTGCCTTGCACGGCTGGTGTGAACATTACTATGGAAATTCATAATAGAATATAGGACTGGACCGTGACTGGCATATGCCTGGCACGTGCCAAGCAGTATGGTGTGAACCCAGCCTAAGAGGTAAGCATGCTACTACTTAGGTTGTTCATCGGCCAGTCGCACCTCTCACCTTAGTTCGCAAGTACACCACAACAGCGGTGGTGCAACTGCGCTCCGAAACATCAAAAATAAAGAGCAGTTTCTGCGTCGCACACAAAACAACGAGGACAGTCGACCGATGCCAAATAATTACTAGTGGTAGACCCTGAATACACAGTAACTTATTATGGTCGTCTCTTGGCAGACAATCTTATAGAATACGTATGGCTAACATGTTAAATAAGCAAAACACAATACGTGAATTTTAATGCCGTCTTGAAAACTCAACTTGGCATTGGCGATGTAAACAAAGTTAGGGTGTAAGATAAAAACGTTGAACGTTACGTTCACCTAAAGTTTTGATTAAAACTCAAAAACTGACATGAAAACTGCGTACAAGACGATATAAAGACAATTTCTCTAAAGAGATCACAAGAACGTTACTGCAGACACAAGCTCACAGTGTTTATTCAACGAGACTAAATGCTGAGAAATTATTTTAACATGGATGACTGAGTTGCAAAGAGATTTCCGCATTTCATTGCTAACGAAGTTTAAAACTAAGAGGCTATTAAAAGAACCATGTAGCCGACGTACATAAGGAGGCGTGATTCAACTACTACACATTCTTAAAACTTATTCTTGAATAACTAACTTCTAGAAGAAAACGCCGAGCTTCAATGATAAAAATAATCTTCCACAGCCTAGCCTGCGGAATTAATACAAAATCTTAAAGTAAAATGTGCTTATTTCCAAGCTAAAATGTTTGCTCATAGCGAGCAGAAGAAAGGAGCACGCTAGCCCTTCCAAGCAAATACTCTTGCCTAAGCAGCTTTATTTCACGCCAAATCGCAACTAATTAAAAAGTAACTTCATAAAAAAGCCCCAATATTCATTTTTCTTCAACACAAAACCCAACATTTTAACAGCGTAAGATCTGCAGTTCAAACACAATGCCGGCCACGGTAAGACACTACAGGAGACAGCGAGAGACGGCGGCTTCCCAGCGAGCGGTTGCAAATAAACATTGCGATGCCGGATTTTTTAATGACGCAAACACCCACGATCAAGAAGTAAATGTTGAAAGAACAAGAAAGGCTGTGCACTGAAGTGTCTAGTGTCAGCGAATAATTTATATTTCTGGTTATGAACAAGCTTCACCAAAGTACAATCCACAAAGTTCAAGTCATCAATGTCTTCATCTTTTAAACGTACACTGAATTGCACACAAAAGCTCAAAAATTTCCGACTATACAAAAAAATATCTGGTAAGAAGAAAGGAGACAAATTTCGTGCTACATCCAAAACCTTGTGCTGCGAACAATGGACACAACATCCATGCACGCTGCCGCGCCCGTTAGCTCGAACAGAGTCGGTCGCACTCACGAAATAACATGGGCAAGTAATCGGTGTCGAACGAGCACATGCTAATTGGATAAAAATTGTACAATGATAGACCAAAACGTGAGGAGGCGCACAACGAACGAGATTTTAGTCGTGAGAGATGCAGGAAGTGTTGTGTGTAACACGGCTATTATGAAGGTTAACTATTGAAAAGAAAATTAGGAACGCTCTAGTGAGATCTCGATTAGGATGTGTAATTTATTGTTTGCCGAGCTATAATGCGGTACGCAGACCGAGCTAACACGGGAGACAATAACCAAGATAAAAAGACGTTCTCACTCAAGTGATGGGTTAATTTTCGACCAGTAACATATATTTATTCAGCCCCTGGACCAATTTTCTCCAAAAATAGCTGTCCTTTTGCGCAAAATGAAGCATAGAAGTTCTGGGTGCAAACAATGGCTTCGTATTCATCTTCCGCGTGGAACGAGGAGAAAATTGATCAAGGGGCTTAAGTTGGTTCTAAGTATTATTGGAGAATTTGTTAAGGGTTTGAGTTGGAGCTACAATCCATGTCTTAGGAAGCTAATTGAGCCAATGTCAGCCGTAATAGAACTCGACTGAAATTCACGACAAAACCTATAAGGATATCTGGGGGATAAGTCGGAGGGTTTTCTTTGAGTAAAAAAATTGAAATTATTCCCCAATGCACTGACAAGCTCATGAATATCTTGGAAGGATAAACCAACACGAAGAAGACAAGCAATTCACTTCGAGTTGAAGCAACTAAGAAATCCTACAAAGATACAGCATAGGTGAGCAAGTCCACACCTTTTATCCACGCCGATATTCAGCTTAGAATTCGATACTGAAATGTGGATTTATAGAGATGCGAGGGCTGCAGGTATACATATGAACGTGCCGACTGTGCCAGCGAGTTGTTCGCTGGTAATATTTATGTCAAATGATTACATTGTGATTTACAGTACTCTATCCATAAAGTAAACGTAGAAAAATAGCTTTCATTTAATATAAGTTAGATGAATATGACGACACACTATTATTTGCACACATCAAGATCCCAAGAATTATATACATCATCATTAATGAAGCGTGGTTGCCTGGAGGAGTTGACATGATCAATGATTAACCAGGAAATGCGAGCCACGAAGCCCTGGATGTTCCAGTGCAATTTGTGCAATCTAACATCAGTAGGAGGTGTAGCAGTGATTAGTAAAAGTTATTAATTCTACGGCTTCATCAAGGACCTGAAAAGCGAGCAATTCAAGGATGATACGCCCTAAATTTTTCACTTAGCAAGCAACACAGACTTAAATTTGAATCACAGATTAGCTGGGGAAGAGTTAACTTCTTAAGTGATAAAAAATTCTACCAGTGGATAATCAGTGAACACTCAATTGACCTGAGAGACTAGGAGCATTGCAGATCATTATGGTGAGGTGAATATTGCAGAACTTCCACCTTAATTTACTTATTTTAGCGGCGTAAACATTAGAGGCAACCAATGTTGATTAGTAAAGGAGAAGTTCAGTAAGGAGCTTTATGCGTGGCGCTAAGATGATAGGAATGAGCTCATTTCTTCAGATCGCTTCAAATCGTCACAGAATTCTCGAGTATTTGCTTCAGACAGCATGAATCAATTGGTGGACTAAAGTAAGACCTACTACTAGGTATACCTTTCGTGACACGAGAAATAGCTTAGAAATGTTTCAATAAACCCCGTCAGAAAATCGCGGAGCAATGCAAGTCATCAGCAGGTCCAGGTCGAAGTAAATCACACAAATCTCTACCCAAAAAAAAATGTCTTTACCAGGCTCAGAATAATGGTTTTAGATTCATAAAATGTATTAGGGGACGTCAGGATTTCTACCATTCAAATCAGCCATATCACGAGGCAAATAAATCAAGTCTTGGAGTAGGATGGGAATTTTACTTGTACTTTTGCTGGAGCTCCTTCTCGTTGCCAGGAGTCCACTGATGCTGCAGGCCGGTCAAGATGCAGCCAGTGACCTGTGTAGCCAGGAAGGGTGGCGTGATGACCATCTCCGGGATGTGGCGTGCAAAGCCTGACACGGCACCGGCCACGCCTCGCTCACGACGCTCAGTCTGCGTAGACTCGATGATGTTGCTGGTGACGCGCGCAACGCGGTTGCGAACTAAGCTAGTGGCCACACACACGCCAGCCACCGCATCCGACGGGGGAGCACGGGAGCCTTCGATGCGGTATGTCGGAGTCACGATCACCATTAGGTAACTAGCGACGTTCTCCATGCAGTTGAACATTTTACCAAGAAGGCCGAATGTGGCAGCCATGGAGCGGCATGTGAATGCTTGCCCACCAATCATGAGCCCTCTGAAGATATTGCCGTCTTTCATGTACTGCTGTATTGGAGCTTCAACCAGCTGCCACATGCCACCGACAATTTCAATCAGAAGTCCAACGGGAGCAATCATTTTGAGGAGGCCTAACTTTTGGTTAGCGTAGATGTCGTCCACCCACTCCTTGCGTAGGTACTCCATGACCTTGTCGAGACCAAGAAGACCTCTTTTGAAGTTGATTTCTTTGAGCTTCAGAGTGACCTTATTAGCGCTCGACAACGCCAACATAAGCTCATTCAAACTGTTGATGTCCGCGAAGTTGCCTTCAAAGTCAATGACTATGACCACAGAAGGGTTGAACACAACCGACTTGAAGAAGGGCTTGTTTTGGGCATGAACAGCTCGAGTGTGAGCAGGCAGAGGAGAACTCGCTTTATGTTGTCGCACCGTGGCGCCAGGGGATGAAGCCGCTTTGGCTCGGGCAGAACGCATCGCTAGGGCATAACTTTCTTCACGGATCTGAGACATTTCCTTGAAAAACTCCATGAGGAATGTAACGGTGGCCTGATCTGCGTACATGCGCACGTTGCCCATCGAAATGTCGAGGTCACATTCCTCACAGAGTTCTTCGTTTGGTCTCTTCTTCACCATCAAGTCAATGGAAATAAAATCGGATTTTTCACCGATGGGATACTCCTCCGTGACGTAGCGACAGAGCAATTTTCTTAAATTAGAAGCAGGTACTAAGTCTAATATCTCAATGTCCTTGACGCTAATTTGATGATGACAAACGACCATGCTTTCAGGACCATAGAACTCGACTCGGTAGCGGAGTTTCTTTACGGTTATTTCAACCATGGGCCTCAGTACCTTGCTGCTACCTCTACTTATTGAAGTGTCTTTTCTCTTGACGGAGGGAGAAGGATGGTTGAAGGAGAGCCTAGCGTCGCGGCTGTTGAACGACACTGACGAAGGAGAAGCAGTGGCAGCAGAAGACAGCACAGGACTACAGGACTCGGGAGTGAGAGCGCGCCCGTAGCACAATTTCCAGCTAAATGAAAGCTCCTTGATGAAATAACGCTCGAGGGGCATCGCTGGAACTGCAATGGAAATGTTCTTCAACAAGGGCAACTTCTTATCAGGCCATGGATTGTTGTTAAAAATGGCGATTTCATGAGGTTTGCCCTGATCGACCTTCTGGAGTCGCTCTAATACAGTACAACGGTCGTTAAAAGCAGGCTTTCTGTCATCGGTACCGCTGATGTTTCTCCCCCTGTTCTTTGGTTGCCCCCTACTTGGAAGCCTTTTAGGAGGCACATGCACACTCTCTGAAGTCTGGCTGCCCACTTCATTAATAGCTTCTGCTAAGAGTTCTCGCCTAAGTTGCAGCTCCAGCTCGTCAGTTTCGGTCACCGGCGTGGGCTCCCTTTCCTTCGACCAGGCACTGTCTGAGTCTTCCACCGCATCACCTTGTCCTGCAGACGCCTCGCAAAAGTGAGACACATACTTCATGAGCTCAGCAAGAGTGTCAGAACAAGTGATGAGTGAGACCAAAGCACCGACTATTATCAGCTCGGTGTTAGGGACTTTGTGAACTCTAGACAGAGCTTGTCGTAGAGTCAGCTGCAAAACGCCTAAATTCAAAACTTGGGCAATGATTGGTTGCAGGCCGGGGTACTCTTTGCGGATGAATACACCCGAGTCTTCAACAATGGTTCGGAATATAGAGGTGTTGCAGTTGCACGACAGGCTGCTAGCCAGTATCAAGGATCCGATGTAGAGTAGCATGTCGGTGTCAAAACCTTCAGGATGATATGTCACCAGACAGTTCATGAAACTGAAGTGAACGTCGTTGACGACTTCTGGAATTTCATATCCTTGGATAGGATAGTCCTGCACCGAAAACATATCCTGCAGCTGCATGAGCCACATGTCTTGAGAGAAATTTGTCTCGTATTTATACGAGGCATGGTTAAGTTTCCCAGACAACACCATCGTACTCACGTTACGATGCTCATCAAAGTCAAAGTTCATGACCAGTGACAACATGTCATGGTCGTCTGTAGGGTGCGTGTTAATGTTTTTGAGATCATCAGGGGAACAGCGTCGTATGACGAGCGACATTTCCTTGGGCTCGTTCAGCTCACTGAACCAAGCGGGATGGTGGGCTAGAGTTGCATTCCGTGTAAAAACACCAACGTAAGATTTGTTAACGTTTCCCTTGAAGCCCGCAGCGACGTAGAGCGACGCATGACCAACGTCCATGAGGATACGTCCTCGAGTGACAGGACTGAGTTCCCCTTTGCTGTCACGATTAGGAGTGATAAGTTCTATGCTGCCTTCACCTACTTTCATCGCAAGACCAAACTTTGTTGTGGGAAGGTTGCTACACAGGACTTCCTCGCCGAGCAACCTGTCCTTTATAGGATCAGACGAAGACTTGGAGGAGGCGTCAGAAGTCGAAACGGGTACAGAACTCATGGTGCTCATGAACTGGTCGTCGTCTACATCGCAGCTGAAGGAGTGATAAATGCTGATACCCGTATCAGCAGCCAGACCCACATCATTGTTAAGCACAGGCTTGCTTTGGCTTGTCATCAGGGGATGTGAGGAATGAGGCTGCCACAACAACAGATCGTAAGCTAATCTATTGTATATTACCTCGTAGATATGCTTAGAAGGTAAAAAGAGTGATAAACATGGAATATCGGCCTCTAGGTTTACGTCTGCGTTTCTGCAGCTCTCAGTTATGAAGGCAGCAAAAGTAGAGTCGCTGGCGGGATACAGCAAAGGCTCTGATATAGCATCCTTGTGATTAGAAACCAAGTTCTTTTCATAGAAAGGTTTGGGGCCGTGTAAGCTTTGAGTAAACTCTGATCGACAGCCAATGCGGCGTCCAAAAGTAAACCTGAGCGACACTCTTTCTGCCTCACAACGGCTGCTTGCTTCCCCAATCAAGTAGCGCTCGGTGTCCCGACTTTCCTGGAAATAGACGCTGGCTGAGCGCGATAAAATCCTGACCTCATCAAAAGCATTGTCTGCAGGGTGACAAAAGTTGCTGATCACATCTAAATCTACGAAGAGGACAGTGAGGACATCGCTGCGGAGGTCTCTCTTCCACACAGGTTTTGTGAGAACATCTGACATGGGGCGGAGATCGGGTACAGGGAAACGTAAATTCAAGTAAACTGACGAACACGAACATGAGAAGTTGACTTCGTGCTTCAAAACGAGAGTGGCCGCTTCGTTGCTGCCGAGTGAGGGAGGTATAACTTTAGCAGTTTTAGATAATAGATCTTCATCAGAAAACGAGGGACTATGGAAAAATGCTTCGGCTCTGTCAATTACAGAAAGATCAATTTCCATACCAAAATTGGCAAATGCAAGGGAAACGTTGGTTTTTGAGTTCCCGAGATCCACTTTTCCTTTGTAAGTGTTCCGAATTTCAGAAGTGCAATCAAAACTGACGTTCAAACATGGGTTTCCTCCAGCCAACAAGCCATCGTTCAGGAACACTAGTAATTCGGAAAATGATGCTACAACGTCGTCGTTTTTCTCCACGATACACTCGACGAGTTCCATGTTGTGAATTCTTGATACGACAGCAAGATGGAGCTCCTCACTGGTCTGAGAATTGACGAAGTCAAGTGTCAGTTTAGAAGCGTGTAGCTGGAAATGGTTTTTCAAACAGTGTTTGGCAAAAAGTGATCTAAGAGGAATGAAATTTTCACCCGACGCTCTTCTTTCTTGCCCTTCGAACATCAAGAAGAATAGGTCGGCTTCTCTCTCGAGTTCTTTGTGGGAAGCTGCACCAACTGGGGCAATAACATCTTCGTGCAAAATGACCATGGACACGCTCTGGATCACGACGTCCACGTGCATCTCGGATACGTGCTTTTGTGAATTCCTACTATCATCTAGCGATGTGTCTACGCCCTCCAGTCGACCACTCGCCTCCCTTTGAGACTGGTATGTGATTTCAGAAGGAGCTATGATGCTAGTGGCATCTGATGCCACAGACTGACAGTATAAAGGCTTGAAGGCCTGATCATCCGAAAACGAAGGACCAGTCCTGTTAAGAAATTCCTTGTCAAAGGGCTGCGATAAAGGATAGTCGGCCTTAGGAACGGACCATGCGGACGCGCTCGAGCCATGAGGCAAGCGGCCACTGCCGTGACTTTCAAGATCCGAGCCAAAGCCTACAGAGTTAAGGTCAGCAGTCGTGGCCCCTCCAGCTTCTTGTCTCTCGAGCATGTCGTAGTCTTCGTTAGTGAGAGGTTCACTTCTAAGAAACTCTGACTTGGCCGCAGGTTTTTGGGATATTTCCGTCAAAAGTTCAGATATGAGGAAAATTTGACGAGGGGAGAGGTAAAAAGCAATGTCAGGGACGGTTCCGGCAAACGTCAACAACGATTTGTTGGTTTTGTCTTCATAGCTAATTCTAATTAGGGCTTCGTCGTGTATAGACGCTATTTTGATGGGAGTAGAGTCTTGCTTGTGGAATGATTCATTCCATACCGACTCTTCAATGCCAGATGAGTTTTGGTTGAATGGCAAATCAGTGGTGCGCATAATTTCTTCAGTATAAATGCTAACTCTTTCAATGGATGCGATGCGAGAGAAGGATGACGACGATGCACTTTCGTTGCCCAGGTCTTGGTCTGCCTTGCCGTGACATCGATCTGAGTGAACTTTTATTCTACCGACCTGGAACTCTAATGCAATTCCACTGGCAGAATTCGGAGCAAAATGCTCCATGCGTACAGCACAGTTGACAAAGGTTATGTCTACAACGTCGTTCAACGAGAGTAACACTTTCTTGGATGTTTCCTGGGCAGCGCTGTCTTTGTACCGCTCGCTGTCAAGCTCAAGCTGAGCAAATATCTCATCAACAGGCATGCTCTGCTGGTGCTCATAGAAGCTGTCAATCATGCTATCGAAAAGGTTGGGGCAATAGTTGGCCTGAAGTGGAATTATCGTGGCTTTCAGACCATTGAGTGTGATCTTGATCTTGTATCCGGTCATCTCAAAATGCACCTCGACTGCCAGTTCATCGATGCGGGCGTCATTGATGATGAACGGCAAGTTATACTTGGAGAAGAGCTCATTGAGTTTGTCAGGAGCAAAGTCAACGTCTGTGAGGCCGGCACAAAGCACTGACGATTTCCACGTGAAAGTCACCTGCATCTCCCGTGCCAGGTAAGGCTGCAGCCAATGATTTAGGCATCGGCTGATGAACGGCTGGGCGAAGCTGGCGAACACCATCTTTGCTCCGGTGCCAGACATCAACACACACCACAGTCAGCTGTAAAAACGAAAGTTGCCAGTCATTTAATACAAATAAGGTTTATTGCACGTCACTGAGGAAAAAAGAGACACCTCAATTACAAGACGCTGAAAATATACTCAGTAGCAAGAGACGTATTTGCGTAACTTGAGCACCAATACTTGCGTAACTTGAGCACCAGCAGTCAGTCGAATTTATTATTTTAATATAATCCAATAACTACTGAACTTTAACATTTTTTATGCTTTCAACTTTTTAAAATGTTTATATTACTTCTCATATACGTACAGTCAGTAATATTTTTTACAGTCAGTATTTATATCCAAATCGATGTCTTGCTTGAATCTGAAGTTTAATAGTCTAAGACTGACAAGAAAGCAACACAGTCTTTAAATGGAATTAGCTATCAGAGAAACACCTTTTGGTAATAATCAAAGAGAATGCCAGAAATGTGAAAAAAAAACATAAATCCCTCACATTGAAACTTGCTTCAATTACAGACTCGTTGATTCCATGCTTACACCTAAACATGTATATGCATGTGAACTTTCACAAAAACAAGAAGCTTAGTTAAGAAAAACGTGTTAAAAATATGCTGATGAATTCCAACTCCAAGTGAATACAAAATTTCCATATTAGCAAAGCACACTTGGTTATATTCAAAGTGAGAAATATGATTTTGTACTCCAACAAGGGCAGGGTTGGCAATGATTAAATCAAAATGATTAAATCATGTGATTAAATCACTTGATTTTTTTATAAAAAAATCATGATTTTTTTTTATTTTTTTGATTTTTTCACATATTTAAATATATTGAGTGGCAGTCTATAATTTATATTGAGGTATTGTTATTCATGGTTTAGTATAAATGTACTATGAATGACAAATTGGTATATAAACTTGTTGTCTTTAGTGTGTATTAGGTTCCAATGTATTAGGTTCCAACATAGCTAGCAGCTTAGCTAATTCTTATAAGGCTATAAGTAGTCTTTAACTATTTGACTATTTGCTATATATTGATTACAATATACAATTTGAATGTGTTAGCTAGCTTATACATGGTGGGGCAGAACTGATTGAACAGTTTTGAGGCAAAATAACAGAGCAATGGAGGTACCTAAAGAAGAAAGTTTATTTTCCTCAAGATTAGCATAACATACCATTTAAAATACTTATGTTTTGAAAACAATATCAGGAAGATGGGGTTTGTTAGCTGCATCATACTGTTGGAGTCGTTCTCGGAATTTTTCTACAGTACGTTCACACATATGGCGAGGAATGGCCATAACCTCTGCTGCAATAATCCATTCTCTTAGCTGTGGTAGGGTGTGAGGGCAACTTCTGAACCCCTTTCTTTTAGATCTCCCCAAAGAAAGAAATCGCAAATGCTCAAATCAGGTGACCTCGCAGGCCACTGTAAATCACCCCTCAGAGTCTGGGCACATGCATTTCAAAACATTGAGTGACATTCAGGCTGTGTGAGCTGTAGCCCCATCCTGCTGGAACCACACGTCTCCCAATGCTTCATTTTCAACAATGTTTTCGTCCATCATAGGCTGCAAGAAATTGCAGCATAGCAAACATTGCAGCATAGCAATCGGAATTCACTGTTGCGGTTACTCCCTACTCTGAGAACGACTCCAACTGTGTGTTGCTGCTAATGGCCACCATCTTCCAGATATTGTTTTCGAAACATAAGTATTCTAAATGATATGTTATGATAACCTCTAGGAAAATAAACTTTCTTCTTCATGTACCTCCATTACTCTTTTATTTTACCTCAAAACTGCTCAATCGGTTCTCCCCCACCCTGTATATTGAGAGGTTGAGATTGTATTGACCTTTTTAGGCAATTTGAAAGATTTTCCACCCCAATACGAGTACCGGTATTCTAATTAAAATATTTAATTTCAATCTTTTAAATATGTGAATTTAAAACTAGAAACAAAACAATTACAATTATTAGGCTATATATAAAATAATTAAATGCAGTGAATGGATATAAAATATTTGAATTGTGCACATGTTTATTTCAAACAGTATTAGATTTTCTCATAACTTAAGTCTCATTTCAAGTCGTATGAGGTTTGTTTAGTTATCGTTCAGTTTATGTTTAGTATTGGTTTATTGGTCTGAATTAAATGGAAACTACTAGTCGGTGTGTATAGAGGGTAGAGTCTGGTAGATTTATAGGACATAAAACTAGTAGATCTATTGATAGTGCTGTGCACTGTGCTATCAGCTACCTATCTGTTATGTGACTCTTCAATGTCTGGAAGATCTGCATTCCTGAAGTGTTTTTGTATATTGAAGCCAGTTAAATGGTCAATATTTAGCTCATTACCTTGCTCCATACAAATTTTACAAAGCTAATGAATAGACTTATCAATAATTGTTTACTTAAAAATCCCTAAGTGGTAAACACCACCTTGGCCAGTTGGCCATTGTTGAAGGCAATAAGTGCCCTTTTTAGCCATCCATTATGATCCATATACTGTTATTGTTAGTAGGCTAATTGCAACATAAAAAAATAACACTTCAAAAAGACAAAAAAGTTGAAAAAATCAAAAAAATCAAATAAATCAAAAAAATCATGAAAAAATCAAAAAATCATTGATTTTTGTTTTTTTTTTTATTTTTTTAAAAAAATCAAAAAAATCGCCAACCCTGAACAAGGGATAAGTAGACAATCTGCAGTTGTTTAACAAGTTATTTGCCCACCTCTTTACTTGGGGGCTTCTAAAGCAGTAGCTGAAGGCGGCGCCTCACCAGCACTCAACTCATCAGCAGATCTGCAAAAACACAATACTGAAAAAAACTCATAGTATAGTACCGTCATTCAGGGCTTAAAAGGTTGTCCAATAATAAACTTCCTAAATAAGGGACATTCAATATTTTTGTAGGCATCAAAGTATGTTTGATGCTTATTACTATCAATTTTATTAATTAATTTCATTATTTAATGTATTTATTATTTAAAGTATTATTCTTTGATAAATTGTTCAAGCCATCTTTTATATGATGCACTAGTTTATGTATATAGGTTCCTTTTTGAGCCCATGATATTTTTAACTTAAATAGAAAATAAGATCAATAATGTTACATTTCAATCATAGATTGTAAAAGTGGAAGTGTGTGTTTGTGCATTGGAAGCCTAGCACAAAAGACATCGCATATACCAGTACTTGAAAATATATCTGCAATATCTATCATTTCCCCTCCTATCATGAAAAGTCATCGGTCAATTTTATGCAAGAAACCAGATTAAAAAAATTTTTCTGTCAACTCTCAGCAAGAAACTAGATTAAAAAAATTTTTCCTGTCAACTCTCAGCAAGAAACCAAATTAAAAAATTTTTTCTATCAACTCTCAGCAAGAAAGTAGATTAAAAAAATAGTGCCAACTTGAAATGATCCAAATAGCTTATGAGCACAAGCACAGGTTTGGCCAAGAGATCAGAGTACCGTACCTATGTTGTTGATGATAGAAGTGGAGCATAACCACTAACTTGCCATACGAAGGACAACCAACAATAAAAGAGGATTGAAAAAATTGTTCGATTACTATTTATTTTTAACTAATAATAATAAACTATAATTTGCACCCTACAACTTTTATATATGTTACATACAATTTATTAGATACCTAGGTTTATTTTTAGTAGATCAGTTTGGGATTGCCTGGGATATTTATATATGTATAACCCGCCCTTGCAACATATGTCATTAATGAGAATAAAAATGTTATAAGTTAATTAAAGAATAACTCATTATAACTCCCACTTTTTTGCCTGTTACACAATTTGAATTAAAAAAAATATTCTGGTTCAACAAATGTATACCTACCAATTCAATAACTTCCCATCAAGTATAAAGGCTACATGCCTGAAAAAAAACGTACAGACTTGCGGTGCCAGGCTCCAAACACTTACCAACCCACAAAACAACTAGTATGATATATACCAACAGTGGAACCCATCCTAACAAGGCATTGCAAATTGTTTGTAAAAAAAAAGTAAAAACTTTTCCCATGAAAATTAGGTAACTAGGACCCCCATAATCTGGGGGGTTTACCTCTCTTGAAAGTCACCTCTTCTGTGCATATATTTTGCACTTAAAGGGTTTTCAAAATACATTTTTATTTGGGGTGCCAGATAAATGATTTTTTTTACCCAAGATGAGAGATTTTTTAATTCAGCCACACTCCCTGGCCAAGCCACCAACCCCACATGCTTCTCACCAACCCTGGTCAAGCCACCAACCCCGGCCAAATCACCAACCCAGCACGCTTCTTACCAACCCTGCATGCTTCTCACCAACCCTGCATGCTTCTCACCAACCCTGCATGCTTCTCACCAACCCCGGCCAAATCATCTCACCAACCCTGCACGCTTCTCACCAACCCTGCACGCTTCTCACCAACCCTGCACGCTTCTCACCAACCCTGCACACTTCTCACCAACCCCAGCCAAGTCACCAACCCTGCATGCTTCTCACCAACCCTGCACGCTTCTCACCAACCCTGCATGCTTCTCACCAACCCTGGCCAAGTCACCAGCCCCACACAATGTCTAATTCATCATTGAAAGATGGACACTTTTTGTTGATCCACAATGTTTTTGCAGCTTTAAGGGTGGTGCAGCAGAGCACGGTCAGGCAGGGGGAAAACATTTTTTACAATGTGGTGGCTTGTAAGGCAGTTTGGTTATAAGGGAAGGCAAATATATAAGACGGGGTTGAACTGTATAAAGTTTCCATGACTAGTATTCCTCACCTGATATAGGAATGTGAAGTGGATTTCCAAGATGAGGATTGGATCATCAGGAGCCTCTTCTTGTCAGAGCCATTGAGATCTGGAAATTTAATTGGCTTTAAAAAATGAATGAAAATCAACAGTTCAAAGAGCAAACAAATTTCAGTGCCATTAACAGATTTTACCAAAGAAATTAACATGGACACCCATCTCATTGTACAGACAAATAAAACTTTATCAAATCCCATGTCAGTTTTAGAATTTTCTAAGCATTATACATCATATTTGCAACAGCTTCAGTTTCAAGAACACATTTGTCAGCAAAAAAGGATTCATTGGTTGATGGTTTCAGGAGCTAAAATGCAAATTATCCTAAAAAATTCCTTTTTCTTTAATACAGAATGTAAAATTCCATCTAGTAGATTAAGTGAATTCTGCCAAAGAATACCATTTGCCCAGACTTGGCAATTTACTGCCAACCAAACTGCAGAGCAAATTCATATAGAATACTTGGATATCTAAACTCAAAAGCAATGATTTTGTGCCAAAAACATCTTCCTGAAGATTTAGACAGCAACTAAATTCTCAAAATTATCATTGCTTCGAGAATCAGCCTGCTTGATGCATTTCAATAAAAGAACACTTTATTGTTGTACTGAAACTGATAATTTATTACTCATAGCCAATCTTTGCCTGTAATTCATGGAAAACTACCGTACCACTGAAATAATTTTCACTAACTATTCATGGTAAGATCGGCCCACCATTGTAATCTAACTTGCAAAAATCTTCATAGTTACCATTAGTGGTACTGTTTTCTTTAATTGATAATTTTGCTTATTACCACAGTTATTGCATAGTCTTGACAAGTCTTAGATCAAGATTATTTAAATTATGCACATCATTGTTGGTAAATTATGATGGAATTTGACTTGCTTCCCTCACCCTGTTATATACGTACCATAATATGAACAAAAGAAAGCCTTCCATAAATGACCCCGAATAATGAGATTTGAGAAAAGCATTACCTACTGTGGATGAGTTAGACTTACTAAAATGTGGATATGTGGGAACAAGTTTCCATCTGCAATTTCTGGGAAATTTTTCTTAGCTTTAAAACTTTGACTGTGATTGCTCATTCATCTAAATTTACTTGCCAAGACAAATTACACTATCGTCAAACGGGATAATAAGGGACTGACAGGGTATAAAGGGACAGACATCCCACATCTCATAAAAGTGTTGTAGCAGCTAAACTAATATAAACATTGCAGAACTAAAACTAGTGGTGTAAAGTTCAAAATTTTTCCTATCTATGTAGGTACCATAAAGCAAATAAAGAAATCATACGTTTACTACTGTCAAACAGGGTAATAAGGGATGGTTTTGAGCATTTTTTGTTAATAACTTCTCACATGAAAAATTTCAGAAACAAGTTTGGGCTCATTTTATAGCTCTTTGTGAGGGCTATCAAATGGCATTACCAAAAAAATTCCATACGCTATAGGTGAGGCACCAGACGCAAATAAAAGCGTCCAGATTTACCCCTGGGAACGGGGTAATCCGGGACACTTGCAATAAAAGTTCATTTTAAAATGTTTGAAGCATGCAGAGTGTACTCATCCATTACTAACAGTACTCTGAAGTCCTCCTCTTTCATTGTAGATGATGTAAATGTAAAATAAATGAAATTTTCTGTGATTTTTACATGCTTTCCTTCATTGATATTATATTACCATATTCATTAATTACCATATTATTAATGTGATATTACTGTATCCATGGACATGCCATTGAGCATTGACAACGACCTTGTCCACTGCAAGCTTCATATCAGCAGCCATGCAGCATTTCTTCTGTATCTGTAAGCTTACAGGATGGTTTGTAATTTCGCACAATTTTAATTGAGTCAAGTGATTTCACTATAACAAAAAAGATCGTGAAAAACATACATACCTGAAACAGAAAATAATGTTTTAGTGATGACCATCATATGTTTTGGAGAAATAAATCATAGTTTAGGTCAATTACTTTTCATTCTATGATGCCCGGTGCACAATTCTATATACGTATAGCATTCTATGTACAATTTTGTGACGACCGATGATGCACTAATTTTTCAATAAGTGAATTTTTTTTTGCTGAGTGAGGTAAATGTAATCCAAATTCTTTGTTGGTAATCAATTTTTTGTTAACTGGAACCTTTGCTAACTGAGGTTCTACTGTAAATGCATTTTTAATGGTGTCCCTAATTACCCCAGGGGGTGTCCCTTTTTACCCCGTCATGCGGAAATAGCTGCCATTTTTTTTAATGAGATAGGCAAATTCCGTCAATTACGTTTTCAAGCAAGTAGGTGAGTAAAATAAGTAACTTACTTTTATGTAGGTAAAATTTTTTAATACAGCGAATATTTCTCTTGCTCTAGACCTTAGCAGAGGTACTTTTCCAAATCGCACTTTTCACACTTTTTTTCAGCGATTTTTTAGAGATAGTAAATGTTTGATTTATTGACTAGCTTTATACATACTAATAGATAGTAAAAATGTCAAAGTTTATGCCACTATTTTTAGTTTTGCAATATTTTGATTAGTTTAGCTGATACCTACAAGAGTTCTACAAAATGTGGGATGCACGTCCCGATTTACCCCGCCTGTCCCTTATTACCCCATTTGATGGTACCTCTAAAAAATCCCTGAAAAAAAGTGTGTAAAGTGAGATTTTGAAAAGTGCCTCTGCTAAGGTCTATAGCATAAAAATATTAGCAATATTAAAAAATTTTATGTACAAAAAAAGTTGCACACAGGTGTTGACTTAAAACCATGATTGACAGAATTTGCATATCACATTCAAAAACAAAATGGCAGCATTTTTGCAGGTCAGGATAATAAGGGACACCCCCCCCCCCCCCAGGACACTCATAAAAACACATTTACAGTAGAACCTCAGCTAGCAAAGGCTCCAGTTAACCAAGAAAGATATTAACAACAAAAAATTCTGATTACATTTACCTCACTCAGGCTCTCAGCAAAGAAAAACCTCAGCTGTCCCTTATCACCCAGTCGGGCGGAAATGGCCGCAATTTTTATCTGGAATGAGATAGGCTAATTCTGTCAATCACATTTTCAAGCCAACACCTGTTTGCAAATTTTATGTAAGTAAAATTTTTTTATACAGTGAATATTTTTTTTTTTTTGCTTAAGACCTTAGCAGAGGTACTTTTCCAAAATTGCACTTTATTCCAAGGATTTTTGGTAATACCTACTTCAGATTAAGTGCATTAAAGATGGTGTTTTTTTAATTATATGTTTTTGGGGTGTAGATTAAGAATCTGAAATTAAGAATCTGAAATCCGTTTTTGGCGGTTGGCATCGAAAATTTTTAATGGAACCTGTTCCTAACTGGACCTAACCTGCAAGGTTTTCGTTGATTAGCTAGGTTTTTCCTGCCGCCGGATGGACTCCAAACATAGAAAAAACCTATTGGCTAGGTTTTTCTGGCCGCCGGACGGACTCCAAACATAGAAAAAACCTAGCCGATCAATGAAAACCTTGCAGGCTAGGTCCAGTTAGGAACAGGTCCCATTAAAAATTTCCGATGCCAACCGTGAAAAATGGATTTCAGATTCTTAATTTCAGATTCTTAATCTACACCCCAAAAAACATATAATTAAAGAAAAAAAACACCCTTGTTTTGGATGCACTTAATCTAAAGTAATACCGGATTTTCTAGAGACTAGAGGTAGTAAATGTATGATTTCTTAACTTGCTTTATGCTACATAGATAGGAAAAATGTTCAACTTTATGCCACTATTTTTTTTTGCAATATTTGAAATCGTTTAGCTACTACAACATTTCCACGAAATGTCAGAGGACTGTCCCTTGTTACCCTGCCGTCCCTTATTACCCTGTTTGACGGTATATATCACGGACAATTGACATAAAAACCTAAGATATTATAATCTTAAAGATCACAAAATTTGAAATGAACTGGATTAAAAATAATTTTATTTGTAACTATGCAATATGCATAATATTTTAGTAAGAAAATGAAATTAAATAAATAATATGACTTGTCAATTTCCCCAAACATTTTTATATCACATTACTAATTCTATTTCTCCAAAATCAATGTGAAAAATCAATCGGGAAAAATTCAATACTGGCATCTTAGGCTTGGTGATGTCTAGCCTCATGCCCAACTGGAAAGATCGGCAGAAGCCAGGGCTGGAAAAGTCCATTTCATGTATATTTGTTTGATTGAAAAAATCACGGTTTGCACTTAGCAAACATGTCATTCCATAAAATTTTAAACTTCTGCAATCTGCATTACTTCAATACTGCTGCCAAAATATCCTGCAGAATGTAATAACAAGCCAATATAAAAGGTTTCCTTGAAGATTGCATAGCTGTTGTCACATTGGAGTGGTCAGACTGCCTTATCATGTGTTCAGTTGCCAACTTGCCACTTAAGTGAAGACAAATGTTGGTGTTGCTGTAAAATTGGACTGTTTTTAGGGTTAAAATTAGACTTGGGGTAACATGTGCACAGACTTTGTAGATGAGTTTGCGGCTAAAATAGCTTTTCATGGCCGAGATATGGAATTCACCGCTCAAAGAAATGGAATCAAGGCTGGCAAACCCAAAAACCATGGCTCGAAAAATTCAGTCGCGGCTCAACAAGTAGATATATTCCATGCTTGAGTCAAGCCATCTCTAAATGAATAATAGCCAAAAATTTCAAATTTCAATGAATAAATTTACCCATGACCAATTATCCCATGGGCCATGGCCCAGGCAGCCAGGCCTCTATTCTTTAAAAAAATATAAATAAATAGATTATATATAATATATTATATTTTTTATTATATATAAAAAATATATATAAATAGATTAGATTTCAAATTGTATCTACATTTTCTACAATACCCTTGATTTGTACTACCATCATTTCCAAAATTCAATTTCAAGTGTTGCAAACCTTCACCTGCTTGATAATGAAAATTGTATTTTCAAAACATTGCAATCTATCAAAATGTCATTTGGTAACAGCTTTTTGATCTTGCAGTACCAGCAAAAAATTTTGTTTGACTAATTGAATGAACAAATAACAAGATTAGGTATTACCCAAAAGCATGATCTGGTTTTTACTCAAACTTGCAAACCCAAATATATATATATAATATATGCACACACAATTGCAAAATTCTACCGTTTCCAAAATTCACCTATTAAATGTTCATCACATGTAATTATTAAACAAATGCAACTCCTAAACAGATCTTCAAGATGATGAATTGATGATCATAGATAACTTAGATAAAATATGACCATCATGGTCCACAGGGGTCACAGTCACAACTCACAAGGCAAACATGAATTTTGAAGCAAACAATTTATAATTCTGAAAGAATGCAAAACAAATAAATATTTTTCTTCCACACTACACTATGATATAGGCATTAGCCTGATAAGGCTGCTTTTTATGCAGTGTACAGTGTACACTCTACTCAGTACTCAGCATAGTGGCAAAGCAGAGAGTTTTTTAGACTCTCCCTCAAGTTCAATTTTGAGTCCTATGAGTAGGCCAGTAAAGTATCGTGGATACCAGCATTACCATACATAAGAAATTGGTTTAAATCTTGAGTAAATGAGGAAATTAAAAATAAACTGATTCCAAAAAAGCTCTGGTTTGCCACTATGGTACTCAGTCTACTGTAGTCAGTGAAGTGTACACTGACTAGGTACAATGTAAAAAATATTATGGCCCACATGAGACTTGACAAAAAGAACAAGAGGCAACTTTTACAAAAATTTAACGATTGTTTTTACGAGTAAACGAAATGAATAAAAATAGGTATGATTTTATAAGCATGATGAGGTATTTATTCATAAAGATGGCGAATGAACAAAGTGCGTAAAGAATTCGGCTAAGAGAACAAAGGAATTGGTATACAGCTGAGAAAGACTAAATAGGATATATACCTACGTATCGATTTTGTTAATAGTTTGTGTTTCTATGGCTGTAACTTGTGATAGATATCAACAAAGAAGTAGTAAAAGACATAGTTGCTCTACCAATTGAATTTGAACGTTGAACCAAATACTTAAGAAAGTAAAGAAACGCACCTTCTCTAACAGCATCGAACGGTGACGAGATAATAAATGAAACTTTCAGCAAGTCGTTCACAAACGTCAGCTTCGTCTTTGTTCTACTTCGCAGCGATGCAAAAGAACTACGCACCTGATATGTTAGTGTCGGATTTCAATACCTAAATATTCATAATAAATAGTAAAGCTTCTGGAACTTTCAGAATATTTTATATTTATCATGAATTCTGCGAATACTATTAAACAGACGCTAATGGTAATTTATAAAACACCAGATATTTATTTTTAAAAGGAGACATGCCTCTCAGCTGACTGTTCCAATAATATTATCAGCTGTTCGATGTAAATAACCTTTGAACGTACTCATTCATGCATCATCTTGGTTCATTGAGTTCAACATTAGCAAGTAAAGAAGTCACCATCATTTTGGAATTCAGAGCGACGAAAAGATTGCGAGTTAATCAATACTCGTCCCGCATGATGCAATACCACTTATGTATTCTGTGTCATCAGGCAATCTTGATCGATGTCTAAGAAAATCGGATTGCTTTAATATAAAGAATGGTCATATTTGTGTTTTGGTAAAGCATAACTATGTTTCTGGAAATATATAAATAAATAGGTGTTTTTTTTCGTGGACATTTTCAGGATCATTCGGTGCAAGACGGGTCGGAAAATTGTTGAAGATGCACGCTAATTGATTTCTCTAATTATTTTCATCAGATCTGATGCATACTTGAATTGAAATAGTTTACTTTATATCGTTTGTGCTTCCTACATCGGGGCTATGGTCATGAAGGGAATATCTGTTGGCTGGATGTTGGTCGAGCTGAATGTATGGACCTCTGCTTCAATTTTTTTTAATTACAGATGTCTTCTTTTTAATTGATTTTTTTATCTTCATATGTTATTGTGGTGAACGCAACATTGGTTGAATGTTTTAGCTTCCGATAAAAATTGTGGAAACACCGTTGATCTGTAATGGACGATTTTGAATTTTATGTGTGTAATTTTTCGGCTGCCTCCTAGAATTTTGCCCGACATGATATTACTTGCGCTGGCAATGCGACTGTGATCAACATATGAACATTTGCAACACACGTAGACCAAATCTTTATTCGTTTTAATTGAAAACGAAATAATGAAAAATCTGTAAAATTACTACCGCAGCGTATCGATAAAACCTATTTATTTACAAATTTAAAACAAATCCGTTTGGTATAGAACAGTGGTTCTTAACCTTGGGTCGATCGAACCCCAGGGGTTCGGTGAGTCGTTTTCTGGGGTTCGACGGTCTGGGGTTCGTAAAGTCTCTCGACGGATACTTCCCCACCACAATCTCATACCCAGCATGGGTGAGACAGCCGTTCACGTTGAGTGTTGCGACCGAAGATGTGAATGATGAATACCTGGGCGAATTCATTGGACTGCAGGAGAGCCAGGTTCAATAGCAACTCTTCAGAACAACAACGCTCTCAACGTTTTGGTGTCTCCAAATCGCAGCGTACGGGCCCCTTATTGTTAAGAAAACCCTGTATATTCTCATACCGTTTGTTACGACATATCTTTGCGCGCAGTCCTTTTTGATGATAGTAAACATCAAAACGAAGAAAAGGAACAAACTTTGTTGCGAAAATAAATATGAGAGTGCAGCACTTGCGAAGGTGAAGCCGAGCATTCATAAAATTGTTACACTGATGCAACAACAGAAGTCACATTTATTTGAAATGAATATTTATTTTGTTTTTGTTTATGTGCGAATTTTATGTTGTGTAGTTTTTTCTTGCAACAAAATGCTTTTGTGCGCAAATGATGCATGCTACAGTTTATGCAGTTATACTGTTATAGTTGTATAGCATAGACATATGTTTTGAATTAAAAAAATATTCAATTTTCCACCTACGAAGGGTTCGATAAATGCATGTATGGAACTTGCAGGGTTCGGTACTACCAAAAAGGTTAAGAACCACTGGTATAGAAGGACTTATGAGTTTTTAAATTAAGCGTATAGGGGTCGCCTGCCGAAGACCACAACTGCCCTGGATGTAATGGACCATCATGATTCCTGCCTTCCGAAACGTAGCCTTCAACATTTCAAGCCGTACGTATCTAGGCCGTGGGTCGAACCAGCTCTCGGTCGAACGGCCACTTGTAGAAGGATGATAAATTTTAGAACAGAACTATGCTATCTGAAACCTAACCTCAGATGCGGTGAACGTAAAATTACGTAATTTAACGATGCCCGGAAGTCAGATTCGATCCGCGGCCTGTTGGTGCACGGCAGGTGGTGGTCAAGGCCGGAGGAGGACAAAGCCGAGTGGTTCACGGCTGATTAGTGGATATCCGGAGAGATCCAAGGCGTTCGATTCAGGGCTTATTGGTGCACAAAATTGGTGGTGCACTGCTGCGCTCCCGCGTATAGTTAGGTTTTGCGTTTGAGTCCGCAGTCGAGTACGGAGAAATATCGATTCCGTCGTAGTAGATTTAGTATCGACAAAACAGTGTCGGTTGTTGTTAAATTGTTGTTTAATACATTAATTTATTGAAGACATTTTCTTTCAGAAGTGTCACATGTAATCGTAAGACGTATAAAGAAGTCATCATGGAGAATTTTTGTTAGCGTAACCTGAAAATTCAACCAACTGTTCACAATTTTTCAATAATGCAAAAACTATTTTCTTTGGTGTACATATCCGATAAACTAAGGCCAGATTAACGATGTACATAAATTTAACCGGCTATCCCCAACATCGTAAAATTTTCATCTACTCCAGAATGGAGTTTTTTCGTTACGTCATAAATTACATTAGTTAAATTGAACTGATGATGGAGCTGGACTCCGAAACGTTTTCAATATCGATATGGTAAATTTTCTTGGCGTTTTCTTTGCTTTTAAATTCGTATAATTGTATTTTTATTTCAAAAGTTTTCTATCTATATTACACCATTTTTCCTCAAGTCTTTTTCACTTGATTATCCGCTCTATCTACTTTCTGGGTTTCTTTCATTGCCATTCAGCCGTGACAGAGAGAAATAAAACGAGGATGCTCAAGCCCCGCTCGTTCCGTTATTCTGGACCACCGTCGCAGTCGGAACTTCTCAGCGCGGCAGAAAACCTCGACTCAAACCAACTTGTTTGCAAGTAGGAAACCTTGGAGCTTTGCCGCCCGCAAATAAAACAGACGATCGACTCTCCGTATAGTTCACGTAGGGCTGCCTATTGGCAAATATTCCGCCATTCCCAATTTCGTTCCACCGCAAATGATAAAATTTGGCACTAACAATGATTTCATCGAAAAAAAACACTGTGCATAATTTGCTGGGACATTGAAAGAATGTCGACTCATCGAAGAGGTTTGGGCAAATTTAGCAACTACTAGTATAATATACAACAATGAATTCAAATTCATCATGGGAACTTCAATGTAATCTCTCAAAATTCGTTGTAATAAAAGCAAGTATTACTATAATTTGCCATGAAATAGCGAGCAAATGCACTAGACGTTCACGCATGACGCTCCAAATACCTGACGAGTTTTCACTTAACATTTTTTGTGCATTCCAAATTGATAATAAATGCAAATTTAAAATTTCTCAATCAGTAATTCTACTCCATAATTCAACTTTTATATTATTATCGCACTTGAAAATCTCAAGTAAAACTTACTAGTGCAGACGTGTTTCATGAGAGAACATTTAAGCATTATCTTATTAATAACGATGAGCACATACGATATGATGGCCTACCCTTAGGATGCCAATTGTTTAAAAATAATTGCGGTTCAAATCTTCTTGAAATATTTTTATTCTCACGGGTTTGTCTCTTGTAATTAATTTCTCGGTTTAATTAATTTCCCACGAGTATTCAAATTAATATGCGAATAAAAGTATTGGGAACAAAAAAGTGTTCCTCATTTCATGTATGATCTATGATCAAAAGTGTTCCACTGATCAAAAGAGTTATATTGAGTAGAAGTGCTTCATTGACGTAAAATGTAAGTATTAAAATCGCTTCTTTGCTTAAATCGCAATCAAACCAAGAATTTAAAAGCAAAAACAATATCACAAAAATTCACCATTTCTTTATAAGAGAAAACGTTTCGGAGTCCTGCTCCATCGTCAGTTCATTAATCCTAGAAACACAGCTACAAATACCATCGATTGATTGTGTTTGAAGCAATTGATTGATACAATCTATTGATTGCATTTATATCTGTTTTTCTAGGACTTATGAACTGACGATGGAGCTGTACTCCGAAACGTTTTCTCTAATAAATAAATGGTGAATTTTGTGGTATTGTCTTTGCTTTTAGATTCCTGACGTAAAATGTTTTAGGAATGTCAACATTTAAGAAATTAAATTGAAGCGATTTCCTCCAACATCGAGACCACACATGCGGGCGAATCGTAGTTTCCCGTCGAATGGCTGGCAGTCGAAGGATCAATTGGAGTTAAAAACAAAACTTTTCCGATTTGCCCAGCGCGTTCCCTCGAAGAGAAAGTTTGGTTTTGAATGACCCAGTATGGCTTCACTTGATCGCAAAGTTTACACTCAAAAGTTCCCTGTTTACTATCAAGTTTCTAAGTCGATCGGTTGCAGCTTGAACCCATTGCTATCTCAGTTCAGCCTTGATCCTTAAAACAAATAACCTAAGCGAAAATTTAAGTCAGGTCTTCGGAATGGATGTGATGCTCATGTTTGTTCAAGCGATAACTCGTGTGGAGGAAACTGACCGGCCACGCGAATAGCCAGAACTCCTGTGCTGCATGTTGGTAGTGAGAATAACATAGCCTTGAGATCAATTGTTTTTTTCTAGAATAAACAATGCAATAATTAAAATAATGACCAAATAAAAAAATGCCTCAAAGTATTGGAGTAGATAATTATTTGCTCTAGTGTAACAATCGCTGTCCATTGAAACGAAGCAACTTTTCATGCATTATTACATTAATGAAACATGGATGCACAATATTGCACATATTATGGACACCTATTGCTGGAACACAATAGCAATCATCCTAGATACTAAATTGTTATACCAGATGAGTTTCTCTCAAATGAAATTGCGTTGTGCAGCGAAACAATGCTGAAATAATCATAATTCGATCTGACTCGTAGGACTAAAAAGTCCACGCACCACGGTCATGCTCCTGGGGCAGAGAACTGCAAAGATCTTGCAGTATCTATCTCCCATTTCCCGGCGCAGTGGCGGCTAAAGGTGTAGAGTTCTCCTGTTTCTTTTCTCCAAGGTCAGTTCAGTAAACTGGTTCCTGGAGGCTGAACACTGATAAGCCGATTTGGGAAGGCTCTCTCGCCTGCAACTCTGAGGGGGAAGATTTGTAATGGTTTGAAGTTCAGTTGGAACCTCTTTTAACGATGCTCAGGACATAGGAGCTTCATGAGAGCTATTTTCTTGATACGTGTTACACATGACAAATTATCAAGAAGGAATAACTTCAAGTGTCATATTTAGACATAAAAAAAAACTCGAGTCTACCGAAGTGCCATGTCAGCGGCTGTGAAGCACCTGAGCTATCATATATTAGATCTTAATGAAATTTTTGACCCGGCAAGATTACTGTTGATGAATTGCGTCCCTGGAGCTGTAGAGCGTCCGCGCATGCCCACTTCATACGCAAGAATGAAACGGTCTTCCTCTCATGTGCAATCCAGACAAATGAAAGTTAACTGAGATGAGGATATTAGACTAGAATAGAATAGAAATGTCGGCACTGAAGAAATAGGCCCATGGCCTGTTGCTATCGTATGATGCAATGTAAAGTATGATGCATCGCTATAATTTATTACAACGTATCTCAACATTGTGAAGGAGTGAATCCAAAGTGCGTTACTCTTTCGGTAACTGTGATTCATGGCCACGATCGAACGATGTTCGTGAATAGAACAGCGACATACATACGTATATCAAATTTGGATAGAAGAATCAATTTCTTTTCAATATTTATGTGATTTATAGTTAAGAATTACTTAATTAAATTATTTTGCAGCCATATGGGTTCTTTTTTGGCCAAATAATTTTGGCCAAATAATAATTCACCATGAGATATAATGAAATTGATCGATAATGAAAAAACTGTGAACATTTTGAAATGGCTTATTCTAATTTGTTACTGACTATAGAAATAGTTATAATAATAATCGAAATTATCAATGCGTCAGTTATTAGGGACTTTATTTATAAAAAAAATCGTCCATTTATTTTTAATGGCCCAGATAAAATTAAAATTCTGCCTCACAAAAAAATTTTGTTGACAATGGCTGATCGAAAGGAAAATTAAACATAATAATGCTTAATTTTCCTGCATAAACAATTCAAATCTGCTTAAACAGTACACAGCTAATATTCTCACGATTGTATGAACTGTGAACGATGTTAGGACAAAGTTTATAAGTTTTTAAGCTATACGTCGCACTTGATCGATGTCAATTTTTATTTTTAGCACTTTCGTGTAAATTTATTGTTGAATTGACTATACTTATATGCTTCGTGTTTATTAACTAGTGATGGGTGAGGTAAGCGAAGAATTTTCCCGGAAATTATGAAGATTTTTCTTTGTGCTTTCGATGAACTTAAATTCATATGATTTTTTAATGCATTGCGACTAATTTCAACAATCTTTAAAATTCAAACGTCAGAAAATATTGTGTAAGATGCTCAGAAATTTCTATTGTGTAGAATACGAGTATATTCGTTGCGAATATATTATTTGTTGAGTAAATCTTTAGGTAGTTAGGATTATCTCTACATTTGTCAGCATGAATTAATTATATAGATGGTGGCAGAAGCTATCACATGAAGTTCCGCGTCGTATAAATTTGTAACGTTATAATTATTCGTACATGTTAATGTAACTTGAAAACAAAATAAGTGTCGTGGAGAACACAGTAACTCGAAGGATATAAAGAACTTAATTCAAATTATTGATACAAATTTATTACATTTCCTCGACGACATCTTCACTTTATACGAATAAATCTTGTTGCATTCAACTCACGCTATTCACTCAACAAACAACTACTTATAATATAACAACAACAACAAACATCCATACTAATCTGACTATCTAAGTGTTCACAAAAATTACGTTGCTTAATTGATAAACCGCAGGCTGTTACGGAGATTTAAAATTAACGATTTTACATGATACATAATATCTGTAACAATTTCCCTGCCCTGCATCGAGAAGGTATCCTAAATACAGAACAATACAGCACAACGATATATCTTCTAAATAATTTTACGTGACTCGCAACTTTTCCCACATCACGCATAAAGAATTTTTTTCTTAAATATGTGATTAATGGCGAATAATCCAGCAACCTTAACTTAAAAACTCGAAGAAAACTATAACAACTTGCTGTCTTATTTTGTACTGGATCAAATCGTTTGGTTACTTGAAAATAGCAGCTTGATTTTAAAGGCTTTCGAGCTGCGAGATGAAAAATTCATTTTTGAGCTCCGTTTGAAGCTTTACGAACTTTAAATTTTGATCGGGATTTTTGAGTGAATTTTTTTCAAATTTTCGGATGAAAATCGAGAATTTTTTTTAGATTGAATGGTTTTCATAGAATACGTACGAAAAAGTTTATCGATCCATTCTATAACAATTTGTCAACACAATTAACCTAATCACGATAATGTGTTATTTATACTGAAGCAGCACCAAAATTGCCAAACTAATTTAACTAATTGGGTTTGATGCTAAAGTGGAAGAATAAAATTTTCTTGACGCATTTGAGCATTTCTCAAAAGAATCGGCATTTAGGTTATATACTCGCATGCGATGAGTTTGCACTTGATGGAAAATCACCAGTGTTTATTGAGACATAGAAGAATGTACTAGCTTAATCTCGTAAATTTTTTGACGGATAGGGAGTGACACCGATTGTACTAGTCGTAGAATAATTCTATGAGCCATCATAAATTAATTTATCCAAACATGTTGAGATACTTGTCAATTGTCATAGTATTGAAAAAAATGTTGAAAATATCGACCTGAATCCCGATAATAATCTATGCAATCAATATTGCATATAAGATTTTCTTTATTTTTCCAATGGGCAGCCAGCATCGAAAAAACAGATCGTATACCTCGAACTGATTTGATTGAAGGACAGAAATGAAAGCGCTGAACTGCAGCGCGCAAGGAAACAAAAGCTTCATAGCGCGCAACGCTGAACTGCAGCGCGCTAGGAAACAAAAGCTTCATAGCGCGCAACGCTGAACTGCAGCGCGCTAGGAAACAGAAGCTTCATTAGCGAGCAACGCTGAACTGCAGCGCTCTTGGAAACAGAAGCTTCCTAGCGAGCAACGCTGAACTGCAGCGCGCTCTGTTCAGCGTTGACAGCTGGCTCTCAGAGCGAACTCTAGAGATCATTGAGCTTCAGTTGCTTCGTCTCGTCATCAGCCGTGAGCCGTGAACGACCGCAGCCTCCCGCACAGATGACTCGAACTTTTCCATTTGCTCTCTTTTTATGGGGATAATTGTTTACGTAAATTATCTCGTATACATATGTGATGAAATAGTTAACTTTTTCATCTTTTATATCGGCACTAAAAGAAGGAGGTGGATTCATTTCCTAATGAATGCACCATAGTTTAGATCACTATGATATGCAGACATGAATGAACCTTCGTTAAACTGACCAAAACAGCCTTACATTATTGATTAAAAAAATATTTTCTTGCGCTTAGGAACGGTATATAATATTGTGCCATCGTAACATCACGGATGATTCGAAACATATTGTGGAACGGTGAATTCATTCTCTTTGAATATTTATCGTTTGGTTTTATTCTAACTTTTTACTGCAATGTTTGCGTTATAACATATTGGTAGTTTATAAAATGTGACATTCAGCATTGCGCAACGTTTACATTTAAAAATTGTGGATGGTTTATTACGCCTATTACACCTATAGGCATTTTTAACTCATCATAATAGATCCAATAATTAATTTTTCCCGAATAAACCTTTTTAATAATTAATTCGTGGAAGTTCTAATGATATATCCAAGGTTCAAATATTATTGCTTTGTATCATGACTTGAATGCGTTACGTCAATTAATCACGAACGCTAATTAAAATTCTATGGATATATTCAAGGTCCAAATATTATTGCATTATATCATCACTTGAACGCGTTACGTTAATTAATCACGAAAGCTGTAATGTTAAATTTTAGCCGTCTAATTGGCCAACTTGGGAGAGTGCGGAGGGAGCGAGGCACTTGAACAGATCCGCGGTGAGGGCAAGCGTTCTTGTAGGCTACTGCGGTCTGTGCTGCTGAACGCAAGTAAAGATAACTATTAACAAGTATTCTTATACGAAAAATATTTATCTAACGACTTCGAACTACGTTCCCTTCATAGGGCTTAAAACCTGCCAAAGAGATCTAAATACTTCGAGGTAATATATAAATGACCGGGAAATCATTTAGCATTTTTAGATCATTTTCTCATTTATGGAAAAAAGGCGCTTTTGTGCTCGTTAGGTCCGAATGTCTGTCCGTCATCCGTTCGTCTGTCTCTGACTTCACGTTTTCGTCGACGAGAAAATGCGCCCTCTGTCACTCACTGCAGCGAGTGCTGAGTTAAAATTTTTTTGCTAATACGTGTACTTGGTTAACAGCTTGTGCTCTTGGAATATGTTCGGTCACAGCCACAATAAATTCCAACACTAGCACCTCATGACGGCTGAACCTGGCGATTCAAATAAAGAGTTCTTTACACATCGCTTTAATTGTGCCTCGTACTTGAGTATCTTAAGAAGATGAGTGAGCACAGGAGCAGCCGAGCAACGCTGTAGAACGCATTCCTCGAGTTCATTGTGCGGCCACTTGAGGCTACGCTTTGAAGAACAGCGATCTCCTGCACATCCGCTTCTCGCGAGAGTTCGGCTACTGGGGATTGAGTGGTTGATGTGGTTGTTGTGGTAGTTGTGGTTGTCGTGGTTGTGGTGGTAGTTGTTGTGGTCGTGGATTTGTACAAAAGTTGTGTGACGGATGGTAAGTTTAGTTCGGTCATGTTATGTAAGTAGTAAGGAGGGGAATAAATTGCTTTAAGTTCTAGCAAGCGTTGGTCCATGTGGAGTCCTTGTATAGTACGCGTGAGGCGGCCGCCGTCTGAGTAGATGGATATCAACTTGCCGTTGTATTGAGCCTCAGTTTTTTGTATCACTGCGACGACGCGAGCGGTACACCCAGTCCCAGGAGGTAAATCTGCCTCCAGCTCGACCTGGTGCGCTCGGTCCAGCTCATTCTGGTCGCCCCACACCAGGAGTTGCTGGTCGCCATCAGGAGAGGTCACGAGGGCGTTGCGACCAGCCAGAGTTCCCTTCACGCGGCCCCAGTATACCAAGTGCCTCACCGTCACCGCTGTGGCTTCCATTATTCGTTCCTGAGAAGCTCCGGGGTTCGATAAAGTAACAACGGTTTTTTCTACTTCATCTTCATTGACGGTCGTCCGTTGTTCATGAAGCTCAATGTCGCGTAGTTCGTACCGCAGAGGTTCATCTTCAACGAGCACGAGAGCAGACTCTTCCTTGACGACTTTGTCGCCCTGTACAATATGTGCTCTGCGTTCCTTAGGCCTCAAGAAGCCGGTATAAGACTGCCCATCATCGGAAATGTGCATCGCGAGAAGCGTCTGCTGCTCAGCTGCGATGGAGTTGGGCGGCGGTGCTCTGTATTTATCCCACTTGATCCTGAGTACCCGAGACGACCCGTGCAGGGACACAAGAACTTCGACGTTCTCGTCCTGTGTGTGGACGGCGCTGAGGAAAGGAACCGTGCACACGCCGGCCTCCAAAGTCCCGCATACGTATACGCTGTGCTGCATGACGCGACACCAAACTTTGGACGGGTCGCTGTCATCCACGGGGACGGCGTGTTGGGGGATCCTCTGCCCTTTGGTGCTCACCCATGCAAGGGTTGATGATGTCACCAGCATGCCGCCCTCTTGGCGGATCTTGGCGAGCTCTGAGGAGGCAGTCGGCAGCCATAGTGCGGCCACAACCACCAGCGTCGAGCTGAGGAAATACAAAACGGATTAGTTGTGATATTAGATGTTATGTTAATACTCGTATAAAGAATATGTTGGTGATTAATTGGATAGTTAAGCACTCGAACGATATAAGTTCATATTCATATCATAGATGCTTTGAGAAAAACATTGAGAATTTTATCTCGATAAGATAAAGAAGATAAAATGCAATTCTTTGCTAAACCAAAAGAGGCAATTAAAGTATATTGGCAATTGTGTCAATATGGAAGAGAGATTGTAAAGTAAATTGAAAAAAGCCAATTTAATGTAAATGAAGTGAAATGGCATTGATTACATAAAGCAAGCATAAACAAAAATAAATTACACACATTTTTCAATAAATAGAAGAATAAAGTGAGTTGATGAGTTCGCCGTTGTTTCGTATTGTAAAAATTGTATTTCTCAATAATTAATTCAAATTTGATTGGAGTGAATCAGTCATGAAAATTAACTTGCATTTTTTTATAGAATCCTCAAATTACCTTAATGAATGAACGATCAAAATATTGCCTGGAGAGCTTCAAACTGAAAAGCTCTTATTAAAAAAACTTAATAAACGTATCAACATATAATAAAAGTTCAATCAGAGTAGGTTATTGCTTCCCAAAGTGGCCAGAAGCTCAGCTAAAAATAATAGCCGATACAAACTACGGTTCAATCCGACCAGCAGATCGCGGTCCGCGATTTCAATGTTCAGCAGGACAGAGTGTCGGATGTGAGGGCCTGAAGCGAAGCGGCATTTACTTGTAGTACATAAATACCGTTGAGCTACGCAGCAATTTACGGCAAGAGAGCGATAAAATGTGATGAGGAACGCTTTGCGGCGTCCAGACTTGAGTGGAGAGGGCGTAAAGTTCAATGCTTTAACGAGGGCGGTGCAGGGCAAGTTGTTTGGCACCAGAATTATTGATGTGCTTTCAAATGGGATTATAAATCGGGCGGCGCGATAAGGGTTGCCATGGCAAGATATAGAGAGCTGAGGCATGACCGATGATGCAGCGAACGCGTAAATTTTCCCGCGCTCAAACTGAGCAGGAAACTAAGAGGTGTTGTGACCGGATTTTTTGAGACAGCATTGAACGGTTCGATAAAATTTGGTTAATGTGTTTGTATGCAGAGTGAAGGCAGGTGCAATTTTTATTTTTTATATCATAAGTAAAATTCTCATCTGCCGTTTCATTGAATATTTTTCTTTATGCATACAAAATTTTTCATGGCTGCTTAAAAAATTATTATCGTTGATATACAGACATTTGTTGTATAACAAACTCCTGTTTTTAAATTCGGTGAGTGTTCGATTTTCAGGACGTATTAATGTCCTTGATAAGCTATTTCATTAGTCCATCCGTGGAAAACTGGCAATGTGTAACATGAGAAGGATTATAAAACACCGAGTGGCAGATGTTTCGAAATTCCGAAAAGATATATACAGTCAGAATTCATGTACAAGCAAGTATATTTGCGTACGAAAACTTTTGAAAATAGAAGAAGACGAAGGTTTGGCCGCAGGCACGCGCTGCGGTCGTTGAGGTTGTTCCGAGGGCAGCGTTTGTGACCCCACAAACCACAACCAGGGTGTTACCACAGCTCTGACCTATGCTGCTCCCACATGCCACTCAGGATAAGCTCCTAAAACATGTCGCACAGGGAAAGCTCAAGTAATATATGTACACCACCTGCGAAAAGATCTTGCATTATACCAGCCGAGACAAGTTCATGCAACATACAACCCTGAAAATGTTCCTGCAATACGCAACTTAGAACAAGCACCGGCAACTCTTAACTTAGAACAAGCTCCTGCAACAAGCGACTATGAAAGAGCTCTTGCAATACGCCACTTAGGATAAGCTCCTGCAACACGTCACTGAAGACAAGATCCTGCAACACGCCACTTAGGACTAGTTCCTGCAACACAAGTCGTGCACTAAGTTTACATAAGTATACACAAGTTTACACCAAGCATAAAGATTTACCCTCTGTTTACCAATATAGTAGTGCGCAGTGCGCATCTGCGTGTGTCGGTATGACATCACTTAATTTTTATACTAGGCTGGCAGAACATAAATGAAGGAGTTTTAGAACAGATAACCTGCTTGCGCATCCCCCTCATTCAGCAGTATGCGTTTATGCCGAGCAGTGCAACGTCCCTGTGTCCGATAGTGATTTTAGACTTTTAGACTCCACAACCGGTTTTTCAGACGTTCGAATTTTATAGTCCTTGTATATTTTTAAACAAAATCAAAGTTTAAATATTGCCTACAGTTCATTCTTATCGCCTCATTCATATTTATTTTCATTTGACAATTTATGGTATAATATCTTCAATGTTAATTTTAATTTGCTAATTGTTTGTACTCGTGTTTAGGTTTTTGAACTGACGATGAAGCTGGACTCCAAAACTTATTCTCTCATAAGAAATGGTGAATTTCTGGGCAGTTTTTCCTGCTTTTAAATTGCTTTTCGGAGAATTTTTCAGTCAATAAACGTGTAAATTTTACCCAGTTCGGGAAGTGATGCATACCTCATTCCATCGACTTGTTTTGATACAATGCCGCGTTACTTGTTTAGTAAACACGGCCGTGCAGGTTCCTTGTTTTGTCGACTCTAACCTTGAGTCCCGACGCATTTAACGCGTAGGGTCTCGATACATTGGAATTACCTAGAAAATAGTGAATGTGTTTCTCAGAATTTGGTTGGTCGAATCGAATCTTGATAAAAATTATTTTAATATTATCGTTTCACTATAATCATTTTAAAATCAAGTGAAACGCTTGTGGACGCATAGATGATTTTGATAAGTATTCATATTACAACATCAGAAGAATTATATGCTTATATGATCTTCAATTTCTGCCTGAAGTAACTTTCGATATTCTGATGCATTATTCAAAAAGATTTATTGAACTAATGGGTACTAAGGCGCACCTCTTTGAAGCAGAAATATCGCAATGCACTAGTGGCGTTCTAATCGCGACAGATGCATCGCAGCGTGCTGCCTAATGGAATGCAGGAGAGCATTTTAATTAAATCCTTGCTGCAGACTAATGAAATCAAAAGAATCATTTCTACTGTGTCCAGAGGGAGCTTGATTCTATTTGTATTCATATTTCCCCCATCAAACTAAGTGCAGTGTTTAAACACACGTCGAGACTGATTTCAACTTAAAAAGCTATAGTATGAGTAACGTCTATTTTAAACTCACCCGATGCAATAGCAGATTTCCCTTGAATCCTTTACAAAATTATTGATCGTGACACACATGGCCTGGGATTCCTTATCACGATGCAGATTAGAAGTATCGTGCAAAAATAACAGACTAGATGCCTTCGTAATTATAGACATGGGACGATCTTAAGGTTGTTTCTTACATGATAGGATCGTGGAAGTTGAAAACTCAAGCTTAAAACCAGATTAGTGTGACACCGTTTCTGCTATGTTACCTGCCTGCGAAATTCGAGCTACTATACCGACACGTCTTCGACCACAACAATGATTAACCATTGACATTTGGAATGGTCAATTATTGAAGGCTATTTTGGTTAACTATTGATTACTATTATGATTAATCATAAAGTCCTGCAATGGTTGACCATCGACGACTATAATGATTGACCATTGAACACTCTAATGGTTGACCATCCAACACTATAACGGTTGGCTACACATCATTTATTAGTTATATCTCAGATTGGTCATTAACAAGTGCAATGGCGGACAAGTGACAACTATAATGGTCGACCATTGCTCACTATAATGATTGTCTTTTCACCACTATATGCGCTGGTTGACCACTGGCCACTATAAGTGAAGAACAGTAACGATAAAGTAATATTTTGTACTGAAGTATAAAGCACAAGAGTAACCGAACAACAGCAGCAAAACCGTACAACACCATCAGTACCTGCCTATAGTCTCTTCCTTTTCTCGGCCTGTCCATAATTTCATTCCGCAATGCCGTCACGGAGAATACATCCGATACGATCACCGCCGATGAATTTATCATTCGACGACAAATTTATCGTTCGATCTACGATACGATCTCGGGTGTGAGAAATTCGCGCCGGGCTAGAAGATTCGATGATAATTCACGACGGCGGATGGAGAGTTTGCGATTTCGCGAAGAAGATTCCTTGAGTTTTACGTACTAATTAACAGCCGGGAAAAATCGCCAGTGAAATCAAACGTGAAATTAGGAGTTTCTTTCGAAGGAAATGAAATACGTCTCATAAATTGGATGCGAGCGAAAACATTCAAATTATAAAAATTAATTCGCTGATTATTTATAATTAGAACTGACGAATTTCTGTGCAAAATTTTTCAATCGTGTGACGCAACTCAGTCTCGTTTGAATGGCACAGGCACAGAAGTATAGGTTTTTCATTATGATATCGGGTATTTAGAACGGTATCAATGCTACCGGCACATTAATGGAGGAACCTATATATAACTAAACTTAGTTCTAAATATGCAGAGGTGACGTTACACCTCCGTGAGTATAACGTAAAATAATTGTTCCAAAAAACTCATTTATAGGGGCAGTTCATTGATACTTCCATGGAAAGTACTTTAAGGTGCGAATAAATTACTCAAAAATTTTGACTTGTTTTCATTAAAATCAACTCTGATGCTCGAAAGGTTCTATCGGAAGGTTTTCTATGTAATATAATTTTGGCCGATAATATACAATTTGTTCATCGTCCTTGTTTTTATCATTCAGATAATTATCATATCATCAGCAGATAAACAATGTTTTGTTCATTGGTAAAAATTACAGTCATAGAGTAACAGTTTCATTCTCACGTCGTAAAATTATAGGGCCTAACAATTCGATTGTTTATTTAACATTTCTTCTCGGAATCGATTGTATTTTGCAAGACTTAACGTTTACTACATAATAGTCTGAGTAGAATTTTTTTAAGGTTTAAAAAATTTAGTTGTCTAAATATATTTGAATCTGTTACAATTCCGCTCGCACGCTGACGATAG